ATAAGGTGGACATTATCTCGTGACAATGACTCAAATAATTTTTACAAATAAAGATTGAATCAAATAATCTTTACAACTGAAAGTGTGTTTCTGCATTGAACACAGACGTAAAAACCATCCAGATATTCTCCATGGTTTGTCCTTTATTTAGTTATTTTCTTTATAACATTGAAGATGTTTATTTCTTCACTATATTTTCAAATCATACCATATTTGCATAAGTAAATACAATCAATCTTCTCAAATCCAATAATACAAAAAAATTAACAATGTTTTCATAAATGCAATATCAAATATTTGTTAGAAGATAGATAAGGATACACAAAAGTTATATTAAATTACCTCTTTCTTATTGATTTATGAACACACATATATAATAGTGTATATGAAAAGTTTAAAAGAAACAGAATGAACTAACTTTTGACTTTATTATTCACTAACACTCCTTCTAAAGTAAAAGAAGGGTAACATCTACAACTCCAATTAACTCTCTTAGATTTTTAAACCTTCACACTTTAGGGTCTTTGTCAATATATCAACAAATTGCACATTTGATCTGTAATGTTCAATCTCAAATTCTCCATTGTTGATTTGCTCCTGAATGAAGTGGAATCTTGTTTTTATGTGTTTGCTTTTGCTATGAGAAGCTTGATAAGATCTATAACTTACTTGCTGTATATAAGCAACTTTATTATGTGAGTTTGTTCTTCATTTAGCTCTTTCATCAATGAATTCAGTCAGACTACTTGGTAGGCAATTCCACATGCAAATATATATTCAACTTCATAGGAAATAATGCTACCATTGATTCCTTTATAGACCTCCATGAGATTGATGCTTCTCCAAAGAAGAAAATGTAACTTGTTGTGCTTTTCCTGTCACCTTATCCCCACACTAGTCAAAATTTAAATACTTCAACCAGCTCTTCAGTTAATCTTCTTGGCAGCAAAATCCTGAAATTGATAATGCCTTATACATATTTCAATATTATTTTTGCAGCACATAAATGTGACATCTTAGGATCTTAAATGTATATACTAATCAATCCAACACTGAAATTGAGATAAAATCTTGTATTACACAAATATCTCAAACTTCCAACAATCCTTCGACATAGTGTGGATCTACTCTTTCTTCATTAGATTCCTTTTCCAACTTTAATCCAACCTCAGCTGGTGTGTCTGCATAATTGCTCTACTGCATGTTGAACTTCATCAACATATTACAGGTGTATTTGGACTGATGCATAATCATTCCAAATTGTGTCAGCTTGAATTCAATTCGTAGAAAATAACTCAACTTTCCAATGTCAGTCATCTCAAATTCTTTAAGCAATTAGGCCTTGCATCATATTCTCTAGTCTTCACTGCTGCCAGTGATTAGAAGGTCATCAACATACAAACATTTAAAGACCTTTTCAATTTTCTTGTTGTACTGCTAGCTCTTTCCATAGACACCATGCTCACATGTACACTTTTCAAAACCAATTTTATCCAAGAAACTACCAATTTTTCTATTCTAAACCCTTGATGCTTGTTTGAGACTTTACAAGGCCTTTTTTAGCCTATATACTTTGTGTTCTTGATTCTTAGAGTCAAAACCTTGTGTTTTTAGACATATACTTCCTCTTCGAGTGGTATTGAGAAATTCCAACTTCATGTCCAATTGGTGTAAGAACTAGTTAGATTGTAATTGTCACTACCAATTAGATAATCTCAATCCTAGCCACTAATGCATACACTTCACCATAATCGATTCTAGCTTTCAAGAAGAATCCATTAGTCACAAGTCTGGCTTTGTACCTCACAACTTCACCCTTTGAGTTCACTTTCACTTTATAAATCCATTTTAGTACAATCGGCTTCTTATTTAGAGGTAATTCCACAAGTTCCCAGGTTTAATTTTTTCTCAATGGAGTCAATCTCCTCCTACATGACCTTTAACCAATTTGCATATGAGACAATATTTTTAAATTCAATTGGTTCAGATTCAGCGATGAGCGCAAAGTGAACCAGATTACCCTCAGTGGTGACAATTGAGTCATGAAACAACTCATACTCTTTTAAGTATGATGGAGGTTGTGGTGTTTTGGAAGACCTTCTTTCAACCTAATCTTCAATTGCATTTTTCATTGATAAAGGTGGTTCCTCTTTTAGTAAGACTTTGGAAGCTCCTAATTCATTAGTGGATGTTTTCCAAGTCTAGCATGTTGATTCATCAACATATACGTATTTGTTGATCGACACTTATTTGATTTCGGGATCATATAATGTGTATCCACCGGTTGTATGGTGCCCAATCAGGATGAGTGAGATATTTTTGTCATCCAATTTCTTTCGTAGCTGCTTGGGAACATGTTTGAAGAACAGAGAACCAAAAAATCCTAAGGTGTGCAATGTCTGGCTTGACACCTTCTTCAAATGTTATTCCCACTAACTTCTCCTCATAGGAAGTTTGACAATTTTGTACTTTTTAACATGCATTTAACCATGTTTAACAATATCCTGCTTTTTCCTTTTCCTTATGTGTGTTGAAGAGTGTAAGAGGAAGTAACTTCACGTATTATTCCTTCCCTTTCACAAAATATATTGAATTCAGGTGAGGAATATTTCCCTTCACCATCAATTCTCAAAACCTTAATCTTATGTCCACTTTGTTCCTCAATCATGCGTTTCAACTTAATAAACACAGATAACACCTCGCTCTTCCTTTACAACCTATAAACCCACATCTTTCTTGTTAGATCAATAAACGTCACAAAATATTTGTTGCCTCCAAAAGTCTCAACCTGCATTGGTCCGCACGTGTCTGAGTGTATCACATCTAATTGTGTTAATGCTTTGCATGACACAGAACATTTGAATTTTCCTTTGGTTTGTTTACACCGGACACATTCTCTACAAACCTATTCCGGAACTGCAACTGAAGGGAGCTTTACAACCATGTTCTTGTGACTGAGTTTATTCATGTCTTGAAAATTTAGATGACCAAATCTAAGGTGCCACACCCACTCAATTTGATTGTCTGCAGTAGTAAACTATTGATGCTTCATTATGCTCATACCAACGCGGAATGTCCTATTTTGTGAAAGATTTGAGCGAATAATGAGTTTCTTATTTTTGTCATAGACACTTAGATAATTATCTCGCATTGTCATATGACAAAACCTTTCTGCAATAGTCGTCCAAAAACTCAACAAATTAATATTCAGTCTCACCACATACAACACATCCTCAATTATGATATCTCTACCATCATAATATCTTAACACAACCTGACCAATGCCTTCTGCATTCTAACTTTGGTTATCAGCAAACCTAATGTTGTTGTGAAAAACATAATCAATTTTGATAAACCAATCTTTCCTTTGAGTCATATGTGCGGAGCAACCAGAGTCAAGATACCACAAGGTTTCATTTGTAGCATTTGTACTTATTTTTACCATAAGCATCACTTTGTCAAACTCGGATGGGATATCGTCTTGAACCAAATTTGCTTGATTATTTGGTTTGTTATTAACTTCTTCCCCGTCCCAACACTCACAAGCAAAATGTCCATATTTCTGGCAATTATGACATTTTATCTTTTTTTTTTTATCAAAATTTTCATTCCTTATCTTCACTGGAGTTGGTAGGCTGTTTCTTATGATTCATCTTGCTCTTGAAAGATTCTCCAATGTTATCGGACCTATGATCTTGAGATTTTTTGCTTGTGAATTTTTTTTTTCTCATTTTCATGAGTTCCTGCCTTTTCTTTTTTAGTTGATTGTGATTGAAGTGTTTGCTCCTAATTATATCTTCTTTCATTTATCCAATACTCATGCGTTTCAAGGGAGTATTATAACAACAATAGCTCCATATTTCATCTAAATCTTTAGTTTCTTCCATCACCACTACCACATGGTCTAATCTTGATGACAATGTTCTCACTATTCCATAATATTATCTTTGCATGCTCTCATTACATTAACATATTAATGGATCTTGTCAAAATAGTACGTAATCATTTCATTTTCATCTATGCTAAATAATTCAAATTGCTTCCTCAAACTTGATGTTATTACTTTTATCATCATCACCGTAGATCTTACGTAGGATTTTCCAGCATTCCTTTGTAACATTCATTTGTAGTAGAGGCTTTAAAGAACTTGTTAAAAGTTTTGGAATTGATATGAGGAATCTTGTGTCAAGTTTCTGCAGATTTCTAAAAATCTTCTAGGCATCATAGACTTTGCTTCCCATATCTTACAGTTTACTCTCAACTATGTCAACTACGTCTTGAAAACAAAAAATAGTCAACATTTTGATTTTGCAAACATAAAAACATTTACCATGCTCCTTGTATAATACTACCATTTCCAATTATTTTGATTTCATGCCTTTGCTGAATTCCTTCCAATGTTCCGATTTTGGTATATCAAGAGTCCCGTCCTTTTGTTCGTGTTCTAGATAACATGTTAAAAGATAGACATACACAAACATTACACTAAATTAGTTTTCTCTTATTAATATATAAACATATATAACGGTGTATAAGAAAAAAAAACAAAATTAACTATGACTTAACTATTTATTAATCTTTATACAAAATGGAACAATGAATGATAATTTTTTTGCTTATATAATTTATTTATACAAATGTTTCAATAAGAGAAATTTTGTTTGATAAATTAAAATTTAAGTTATATTAATATAATCATATGCTTAGAATTTTTGTCATCATTAACTACTTTCCTTTATTTATCTTCTAAGGTGTTGACTTTGGGCAAGTAAAAGAATTTGGGGTGAGTGAGTGAGCGGTTGGCAAAGACTAGTTCCAGGTGAGGGGGTAGTGTGTTCCATTTCCATCTCATTGAATAATTGGCAATTGATAGATTTGGACCATTGGTGACGTAAGCCAAAAACCCTTAAACCCTTTCCCTTCCAAACTGCGCGAGGAGTTCGATTCTCTGCAAAACCCTAGCCTCTCGGGGTTCCAAAATCCCCCGACCAGGCATAGCGATGGAGGACCGGAATGAATCACAAGACAATAGAGAACTCTACGCACTACTCAACTTGTCTCCGGAAGCTTCCGATGAAGAAATTCGCAGAGCGTATCGTCAATGGGCGCAAGCTTATCACCCCGATAAGTACCAAGCTCCTCACGTACGCTTCCCTCTCTGTCCCCCTGCTAATTCCTTTTCGTTTGCAATTTCTTCACTCATTTTTCTTTATTCTATCAGATGAAGGATATTGCTACGGAGAATTTTCAACGCATATGCCAAGCGTATGAGGTTCTTTCAGATCCACATAAGAGGCAAATATATGATATCTATGGTATGGAAGGGTTGATTTCTGGTTTGGAACTTGGTCCAAAGCTCCATGGAGCTGAAGAGATCAAGGCGGAGCTTGAGAGATTGAAGAGGATGAAGGAACAGGAAAAAATTGCTGCTCATTTTCTACCTTCTGGTACAATTCTGGCCAATATATCTTTGCCGAGCTATTTGGACGGTGGTGGCCTCCTCCAAGGGTATCGCTCTGATCATCATAGTTTTCGTTTTCACATATCAATCTGATTGTGGTTGTTGAACAACCTTAGTGTTAGATGTTCAATTGGGAAAATGAGAGGTTCATATGATTTTTTTATCGTATATTGCTAATGCCTAAAGCAGGAATACCTTGCTTTAGATGGCTTTAATGTTTTTGAGGCTCAATGAAAGCAATGGTGGACAGAAATTGGAGTGTTCTGAAGGACATTAAACCTTAGTTTTTTAATTTTTTATCATACAAATACTTTCCTGAGTCCTGTCAATGAGATATTAGTTGCATAATGCAATTTGTGTGGCTACTCTTTGTTTCTTTTATCTAATTGCTTGTCTTTTATTACATTTATGAGTATCAGAATGGCTATGACAAGCGAAATCCAGTCTCACTTATCCAAGCGCAATGCTTGTACAATTGGTGGTAATTTAGCAGTGAATGGAGGTGAAGGTGGTGGAGCTGCAAATGCTGTGTTTAGGCATCAACTTTCAGAAGTTTCGTCACTTGAGTTTGTGGCTTCAGTTGGTTTGCGTGCACTAATTGGGGTGCAAACAACTCGGTGGGTAATGTGCATTCCGTAAATCAATTTGAACAGTGCTGCTTTACCCATTTTAGTGTCTCTTTTAATGTTTTTTGTGATTCATATTCCAGTAATTTATCATCACACTCAGCTGCAACAATGGGTGTAGCAATGTCTTTGAGAGATGGTTCATTGAATCTTTCAAATTTATGGACCCGCCAACTGTCAGAAACAGCAAGTGGACATGTAAGCTGCTCTGTGTTCTCTACCTCAAATTTCTTCCTGCAATGACATGATAACGAGTGCACATGGATGCAAACTTGACAGGGAACTGAAATATATAGTTTGTACATAACATGATGCATGGGCCAGCTAGTCAAGTATTAAATTAAGATTTATATAATGTTAACTTTTATATCAAATACTTTTAACTAGATTTGAAATTTGTTGATATCAGGAGAGTCAGCTACTGTATCTTACGTTCTTTTGGAAATGCAAGATCTATATTGTATATGCAACTAACCTATTATCATTTGATTTTTCACAAACAATGGAATGGTACGTTATGTCTGTTATTGACGGGGTCATTTTTATTTATTTTTTTCCTTTTTTTACTTGTACTAGAGATTAATGCAGTAGCTGTGTGTTTGGTATATCCAAGTAGGTAGTGTAGTGTAGTGTTGTGGTAGAATTTAGTCACAGTTAACCAAATGGTGTGGACAGTCTAAGCAGGGAACCTTTGTTGGAGACACCTTTATTGCATTCCTTCCTAGCCTGCCTTAAATTTGTTCTATTTGGGGTTTCCTTAATTGCAATCTTCAAGGTTGGTAATTTAGTTCCACATTGACTAGAGATATAGCTTAAATAAGGCCATGGACAATATTTATCTAACAAACTGGTTTTTGTGAGATATAGTTCGATCCTAAGAGTAATTTCTAAGATGTTATTAGATTCTATTTTAAATTCATTGTTGGGTCTGCTTGTATTTGCCACGGATCAGGCTGGTAGTTCTGGGCATCAGCATGAGTGTTGAAAAGTAGCCTTAAATGTGGTTACTTCTAACCTGCCTTAGTTGTTGTCTCTTTGGGAATTGCCTTAATTGCAACTTCAAGGGTGGCGGTTTAATCCTACATCGACTAAATGTATAACTTTAATAGAGCTCATAAAACTTGGGCAATCATTAGTTTACAAGTCTATTTTGTGGGATTAGGTAGGCTTTAAGACCAATTTCTAAGACCATTTATCATTTTTTTGTTGTTGTCTTGAGATATATGAAACATTTTTTAAGATAGTCTTCTATATTTGATGATCTTTCTTCTTATCTGTTATAGATAGAGCTTAATTTGGGATCACAATCATCTATAGCTGTTGGGTGGCAAAAGAAAGATCAAAGAAGGACTGCCTCTGGAGAATTGAAGGTACTTCTATGTTTTTCTCCATAATCAAGTCTGAGCTGGTAATTTTGTTACCTTAATTTTTCCACCACATAGTCCATTGTTCCATACCTAAAAAATTAGAGAAAAGGTTATGACAGATCTTGAACTTTGATCTTTTAAAAACAGTGTTTTTGACATTGGCAATTCATATAGAACTGTAAAATTCATCTTTCGTATACTGAATTAACTCTTTCTCAACTCCTTTAGTTTGGCACAGGTTTGTTTGAAGCAGCAGTTCATTGTACTCATCGTTTTTCTCCTAAATCTCTTGGCTGCATTGTGGGAAGAGTTGGAAGGTATACAAAATCTTATTAGATGTAAATTTAGTCAGGGTGTCATCTTCGTGCTTCTAGTTTTAATTTTGCTAAATGCTCACAATGTCATGATATTGTTGGAAAATGTTTTTGTAGTTGTATCTTATGTTGGTATTTGATTACACACACATTTTTATAGGTCCAAATCTTGACTAAGAACTCAACACTTTGTATGATTGTTTCCTTTGTTTCTTCACTGTCTAGATATTGCCAATACACGCAATGACTTATTTGAGAATTTATTTTAGCTCCATAGCTTATATTAAATTATATACCATATTTTTGTATCTCATGAATGAAACTATCATTCCTTTTCTCTGCAGACTTACTCCTTCTATATCATATCCTTTCTTACCCGAGTATAAACTTTACTGATTGGATGCCAAAAAAGAGTTAGTTTATTTACATTAAAGATGGGACTAATTGTAAGGTTGTGGATTCATTTTTGCGTGCCACTGCTAAATGATAACTGGGTTTTGCTAAATTCTCACTCTAGTGTGTACCTAACAGAGATCACTTTGGTTGTAGGACTATATAATATAGTAATATTATGGATTATATCACCTTTGTTTGAAACTTGAAAAGGTAGAGGAAGACCAAAGCCAAACATTCGAAGAAACCATAAAATTGATCTTAATCTAAGTATGTTCGTTGAATTTTTTGATTTTGGTAGATCTCAATGGTGTTGGTTGATCCAGCTTGCCAGCCCCACAGTCCTTGTAGGAAAACTACTTGTTTATTTATTGATTCTGTATCATGTCTTCTTGTTCCAAATTGATTTGGGAGTTAGTTCAGATTTCTGAATAGATGCTTTTATCAGTTCCCATTAGCACTGGATAACAATTGAAGTTTCTCAGCGATATAGTGATGACATACCTTTTATTGTTTTATGTGTTTGGGATCTATTTTCTTGTCAGGCAATGGCGTTTCACATGTATGCTAAAAGAACAATTTTTTAATCGGGATTAGAATTGAATTGTCAGGGGAATATTGTCAGGACCAAGTCTAGAGCTGTTACGGTTGGTTTTTTGAAGCAAGGGAGTATTATGGTTTTACTATTAATTCGAAATTTCTGCATGTAAAATTGAATCAGTATTACTTTTGTACGTAAAAAAGGAAGTGGAATCTCTTACAATGATAATTTTAATTGAACCTATATTCTTTTATGACTGCTAATGCTGATTATGTATGATCACTAGAATAATTATAATCCATATATTCAGTTACCCATTGATAGTCAATGTTTTAATTTGTTTGTATACTGTCTGTTTTGACATTAAGCCATTTGTTCTTATAGTTCTTCCCTTGAGATTGAAGTTGGTGGTGGTAGGAAGTTATCCAAATTCAGCTCAGTACGGTGGTTGTATATAATAGGAATTCAGGTAATATAGTTAACAATGTCTTATTTGGATCTTGTATTTTTTTTTTCCCTTTGATTAATAATGTGGTTTAGGTTTTAGGATTAAAATTAATAATAAACTACTACTATATAAAATTATTTTACTACTTGACACGAATCAATTATCCCAAGAGTTTTCACTTTTAGTTGAAGGTGAGCAATTTTTATAAGTTACACGCAACCTTCTGCATCTTTCAAGTTTTTTCTTTTTATTTAAAAGAATGGGCATACGAGGATTGAATTTTAGACCACTCAAGCAATATCATAAACCAACTATCCCAAACTTTAAGCTTTTAGGTGTAAGTACACAAATGACCTCATCATATTAGTCAATTGTTGAATATAGAGGAAATAGGGTTTGAAATTAATCTCCCTTATGTATAAACCACACATAGGGTAATCTATTTATAATAGAGAGATGTACAATTAAAAGAGTAACTGAAAGTAAATAGAATAAACAGAAGATATTGTTTGATATTGTGGTTAACAATATCTTAATAATATCAAACAATATCTAACACTCCCCTTCGAGCTGGAGCATACAAATCGTATGTGCCATGTTTGTTACAAATATAATCAATTATAGGCCCCTGTAAAGACTTAGTAAAAATATATGCGAACTGATCACTTGAGTTAACAAACTCAATCTAGATGTTTCCAGAAATAATCTTTTCTCGAATGAAATAACAGTCAATCTCAATGTGTTTGGTCCTCTCATGAAAGACATGATTAGAGCTAATATGAAGATCAACATGATTGTCACACATAAGTGTCATTTGAGTGACATCTTCAAATTGTAACTCTCTAAGCAATTACTTGAACCAAACAAGTTCACAGACAGCTAATGCCATAACTCTATATTCTGCTTTTGCACTGGATTTTGCCATAACACTTTGTTTCTTGCTTTTTCACGAGATCAAGTTACCACCAATGGAGACACAATATCTAGATGTAGATCTTCTATCAAAAGGAGATCCTGCCCAATCAGCATCTGAGTAACAAACAACTCTTGTATGGTTATTAGAACTGTATAACAATCCTTTTCCAGGAAATCCTTTAATATACTTCAAGATACGAATAACTGCATTCCAATGATCTTTACATGGGGAATTAAGAGATTGACTTACTACACTAAATGCAAAGGAAATGCCAGGACAAGTAATTGTAAGATAATTCAATTTTTCAATCAATCTTCTATACTGCTTAGGTTCAGATATAGGTTGTCCTTGATTTGGTAGAAGTTTAGTATTGAGATTTATGGATGTATCAACAGACTTTGAACTCATCAACCCAGTTTCTTCCAAAATATCCATGACATACTTCCTCTTAGATATAACAATACCATCATTAGACTGTGTCACCTCAATACCTAAGAAATATTTGAGCTTGCCAAGATCTTTGGTTTGAAAATGGTGACAGAGATGCTTCAAATGAGAGATGTCATGGTTATCACTATTTGTAAGAGCGATGTCATCAACATATACTATCAAGTAAACACATCCAACACTCGAGTGTTGATAAAAGATAGAATAATCTGTCTCACACTGAGTCATACCAAATTGTTGAACAACCTTGCTAAACTTTCAAAACTAGGCCCTAAGATTGTTTTAGACTGTATAGGGATTTGCGAAGACGACATACCATCCCAGAAGACTTCCCCTTCCCCTGAGCAACAAACCCAGGAGGTTGCTCCATATAGATTTCTTCTTGCAAATCACCATTAAAGAAAACATTTTTAACATCCAGTTGATAAAGAGACCATTGTTGAAGAGCAGTCATGGCGATAAATAAACGAACAAAAACCATCTTTGCTACCAGTAATATGATCAGTGACTCCTGAATCAAAAACCCAAGGACCAGGAGAAGAGGATTGGGTCAGACCAGCAAAATATGTACCTATGTGCGACAGACGTAGTGGAACTAGAAGACGGTTGATCCTTATACCATTTGAGAAATTTGTTGAACATAGCAGGTGTGTCGGATGCAATAAAAGGAGGATCCCCAGCAGACAAAGGTGGGGAAAAATCAGTTTGAACAACTGTAGCAGATCGAGGAGGACGACCATGTAATGCATAACACTTGTTAATCTTGTGATTTAGCTTGCCACAATGTTCATACTTAGGATGCCTTTTTCCCTGTTTGCGATGGTGATCATCACGGTGAAATACCAATTCAAAAGAATCATTAACAAAATTGAAAGTAGTAGAATGAGTGGAAGAAGTCATGAAGGGCAGGAGAACAAACCCTAAAAAATCCAAAGTAATCCAATCAACCCACGAAACATAGATCCAAAACGAGAAGACCAAAACAAGTTCGTCGAGACTAAACAATGCAGGAGACAACGGACGACCAACTCCGATAGTGGTGATCTCAACGGCATGGTGGTCACCTGACTGAGACGAGCAAAACCGTATGTCACCCGACATCAGTGGTGGTGGTGGCAGTGGACAAAGGCGAATTTTTTTTTTTCACAAAATAAGGCGATGGCGGAGGTGACAACAGTGTGAACCAGTACACCAGGTAAGTTTATAAGAAAGAGAGATGGGTCACTAATGGACACGCTTAAATACTAAGTCTTTCCTTGTCAGAACCTTCCTAGACATGCACTTTCACACTACCAAATAATATTCAGTAACATAGATAACTCTTTTTTTATGTGGAAGATCAGTTTAACCAACGGCGGCGGTGGCGGCTCCAGCAGTGGACAAAGGCGAAAAAAAATTTAAAATAACTTTAAGCTTTAGATACCATGTTGAATATAGAGGAAATAAGATTTGAGATTAATCTCGCTTATGTATAAACCACACATAGGATAATCTATTTATAATAGAGAGATGTACATATAAAAGAGTAACTAAAAGTAAATAGAATAAATAGAAGATATTGTGGTTAACAATATCAAACAATATTAATATTAATAATAGAGGATCCAACCATCCTACATACAATATAGGGAATAGTCTGATGATAACTATTTTGATGTCCAAGTATATTTATATTTATATATATATATATATATATATATATATATAAAATGAAATATAAATAAAGCAATCCTATAATTAAAAACATATTCAGAATGAGTGATTAAAAAAGTTCAAGCTTCATAACCAAAACTGCAAACACACATGTCAAGTTATCAATTCAAACAAAGAAATCTAATCAAACAAATTTAACTGTCTAAGGCTTTTGAGACTGGAGCAACTAAATATTCAATTAAATATAATTTCATCAGCTTCAAGCTGGGCCATCTCATCCTCATCTTCACTTTCATTGCACACACTAGGCTGGCCCAAGAGCAAAGAAGGCTGTTCCAGGCACAAATTCTAGTACTAGGTCTCCTAACTCTTGTGGAAAACGAATGCAAGTACAAATAAGAATGTGATGCTGATGAAGTGAACAAGAGAAAAGCACGTAGCAGATTTCATATATGTAATTATAAATTCATCTGAAATTGATATAGGTGTGGGAAGAGTAAATGCAAAATAGAGAGTAAATGCAAAATAGAATTTCTTTAGAATAAACATTACACATGAACCTAAACATATAATATAGCAGTTCGCAATAGATGTGTAGTTTCCAACAAAAGACATAAATAGTTAAGTAGACTCTTTAAATATAATATAAATTTTTTAGAAGCCTTTAGCTCAAATAAAATTGTTTAGAGAAGGCACAAGTTTTGAAGGAAATCATGCTTTATTTCATTTAGTAATAAACCAACCAACTAAACAACTTCACGGTTAAATTTGGCATTATGCATAGACTGATTTGTTGGAGAAAAGATTAGTGAGTATTGGATATGTAACAACTATACCTAATAAGTACAGGTGCTGTTTTGGAATACCCATGCAGCAAAAAAATTATTTTTGATAAAATGCATGAAACGGTCCAAAAATTTACTTCCCTTCGCAAATGGCCTTACAGTTTCACCAATGGCCAATGAATAGAACAAGCTTTTGAAGTTTTCATTGTGTAATCCTCCCTTCCCCTCACTGTATATTTTCCTTGTACCTGACGTAGAATGTTTGGGTGAATCCCCTCTCCCCCGCGAGGTCATTATCTGTTGTATAAGCTGGCTTATATTCTTTTCAAACCTTTTCAGGGTATTTCCTGGAAATTTGAACTCTACCGTGGGGGTCAGAAGATAATTTTTCCGGTTAGGACACTCTTAGTTCTTTAAATTTTTATTGATATACTGCTTAAATTTCAGGGACGTTTATTGAGATATATACTATTTTCCATGGTTTGTTTATCTTCTCAATTATGAAGAGTCTCAGAGGATCTATATATAAATAAGTATGTACTTGCCTGCTTAGACTTAATAAGCGACAAACAGGGATTTGTGTTTCATGAGATGGTTTTAGAGAAATAATCAATTATTTTTTATAAGTTATCTTGTAAAGATTAGAAAAATATGGATTATTTTCTAAAATGAAGCAAGTAGCACTGGAATTTAAATTAGTTTGTTTGACTTCTTCGCAACATAAATAGGCTTTTTACTTGCAGATTTTGCTGACAAGGCATCTTAACCCTGTGTTTGCTACTGGAGCATTTGTCATTCCTACATCTCTTTACTTTGTTCTAAAGGTGAATTCTATTCAACTTTGATAACTTTCTTTTCTCAAAGTGCTTTATGCCATTTTATTTTTAGTATGCCAGTTGATGATGAAAATTTATGCTGTAATTTGCTTCCTCTCAATCTTACTAATGCTAGCTCAGGATTCCTTAGTTCCTCCTCGTGCCATGATTTCAAGTAAGCCATTATTATACAAAGGGTGATAAGTGAAAACTCTACTCAGTATTGTAATGAATATGTGGAATAAATGTTATTTCTCAGCATCAAAGTACACCATAGTTATAAGAGTGGTTAACATGTTAATAGCGTGGCTTATTTAGAGTTTTGTTTCGAACCAAACTAAAGTAGTACAATGGTTGCTAGGGGTGTCAGTGGGGAACGAATTAATGTACACAATAATCTTCATCAAAGGATATAAACTAGTTGAAGTACCATAAAAGGATGTAGACTAGTTGTAGTAGTACTTCTGTCAGGACTCTAAATGTGAAGTGGGGTCCAAACGAGCTGTTATCACAGTAATGTTATCAATAGTGGATGCTGGCCTATGGCAGTGAGCTTAAAAACCTCCATGTACTCATGGTAGATAGCATGATGGCCTTTGGTGGAAGGCATGATTGACAAAAAAATAATATATGTGCATAAAAAGTATAAAACAAAAAATAGCAAAATTGAATTAAAAACATAAGAATCATGGACTGAATCAAAGAAAATATTAAAAGTCTCAAGAATTTGATTTTGTGTGCTTGGCATTGTTCTTCGTGTGAAAAAGAACTGGGAACATCATTACTATATATGTTTAATAGAAAAAAAGAGATTCTGAAAGTGTCGAAACAGATAAGTAAATACAGTAATTCTTGAAAACAGGGAACTAAATTCTTTAATTTTGCAAAAGCACGAAACATTGAACAAATGAAGAACAACCACATTGAGAATAAGGTGAAAAAGATATGACTAACAGCTGAAGAAATGAAGAACAGATGAGCAATAAGCAGAGAAAAAGAAAAAAAAAAGGAAGAAAGAAAAACCTGTCGCAAGTTGCTGGATTGTTCATTGAAAAAAGCTTGTTGGAGCTCAATAGAATGAAAAAGGGGGAGTTTCACCATGAGTGCCAGAGTGTCATGCCATGACGCCATGTTTAATATGGCAGACAGCAAGTCCAAAAACACCTCAATACAACATTATGGCGGTGCATAATGTTTATTTAACTACATTGTTCCACAGTAGCCAAGCCTGGTGTGTGACGGGATCATATTAGAAGTATAATAGGCAATGTGAGTCAAGAAGGTTGAGCTGACAGATCTTACGGGGACAGACAATGGGTGAATCGCTTGAGCTGAAAGATGCTTTGAAGTCCAAGAAATTCACTCATCAAAAGATCCAAGCTAAAGAATTGAAGGAATACATGCAGCAATTCTCTTATTATTTTTGCAGGCACCCTTTTTGGGCTTAATAACCAAGTTAAATCAGTGAATACACAATGATAGAATATTGGGGCACAACCCCTATTTTTGAGCACATAAAGACCCTTGCATTTCAAGGGAAGTAACTTGTAGGTAATGATCTGGAGGGGCAATACAGAATAAGCATGTGAGCAGGAGTTGGAAGACTACATCAAGGTTGGGGAGATGGCATCTCAAAGAAGAGAGTTGGAGGAAGCTTGTTCAATAATCCTACACACAATTGAAGTTGTTAGGCAATTCAGGATGTAAATGGTTTGGTTCAAATGGACCGATTAAGTTGGGGAGTGTTAGAAACACAGACTCAACCTTGAGAAGGATTTGGAAGCGTTCTCATATAGTTGTGAGAAACTGAAAACACTTGGGTGTATGTATGTTAAGCTTGATCCCTGTGATGCCCAGGCATTTATTGAACTGGGAGAATTGTTAATTTTGTCAGACATAAGCTGCAATGGAGGCATTTAAAATCATTAGTACTTTTTAGATAAAAGAGGGCAAGAAGTACCCATTGGTACTCTCTAGGTGGACAATTTCCAGGGTGGACGTTAAACAGTGAAAAGAACATTGATTCATCTTTCAACGAATTTACCATGTATTCTGCATATGGTGGCCAGCTTTTGGATTTTTGTTGTATAATTCAGTGGAAAAAGGAGGTTGTGGAGGAAGTCACACAAGTGGAAGAGGCCATTTTAGGAGCCAAGCTGTAGCATTTGTTAAAAGACTTTGATCTCCACTTGCAACATTTTTTATTACCAAACTAGCACAATACCTGTGCCTGAACGGTTGACTCATCTGTTTTTACTTGTTTTTAATATATAAATAATGTAATACTTTTTTAATTTATTAAAGTCATTGGTGTTTCATATCAAAATAATTTTGGTTTATTGAACCAGGAAAAATTATGAAAGTAAGATAATTGTTTCATCAGATAATTGTGACAGTTAGTTGTTTGGTTTATGAATAGTTTGGTGATATTTACTTCATCATGTATCGTAATATTTGTGTTGTTTTTGCAGAAACTTCTTATTAAACCTTATTACCTTAGAAGGAATAAGCAGAAGGCTCTGGAGGAAGAGAAGAAAAGTTCTACTCAGGTATGGGTGATCAATGTGCCTAAGAAGTGATATTGACTATTATTCCTGCAAATATTTGTTGTTTCTTGTTGCAACTATTGCCCTCCTCATGTCAAACATATAATTTATTCACTTTGTCATACTTATGATCATATTTGTTACCTTTTAACAATTCCAGATCTGCTTCTTGTCAATGCATGACATTTTTGTGAACCTCATCCTCACCCAAATAATCTAGGTTCTGGCCAACGGTTGAACTTGAAACTGTCCATTTGATGTCTGAACATTGTTTTGATTAACTATTGATTTTGAGTGTGGAGAATCCATTATGATTTTATCAATTAGATATGTGGATTCGTAGATTGGTTACAACTTGCAATTATCATTCAGTTACTCCTTTGTGAGTGAGTGTAGCTATGAATTTTTAGGCAGTGTGTGGCATGTTATCCTTTTGACATTGTTATGCAAGAGGTATACTTGTAACTTGAACATAAGAGATACCATCTAGAGTCCCTGCATTTCTCTATTATCCCATGCTTGCCATGTGACTGAAGATTCAATATTGTGGTTGTTTTTAATATCCAAGTAAATGATCCAACTAGTTTAATGCATGTTTTAGATTTGCAAGTCTTCAGTAACTTTCAATTGTCATATAAACTTAGGGCCTTGAGTTCCATTTATTTCATAGTTCAAACCCAAAATCTCGCCCTAGCCCAAAATACCTGCGGAATTTGGATTCTATTTCACCACAAGCCTTGTAGTTCTCGGTAGTGATTTTCAAAGATCATATTCTCAATCTCCCTCATTTCATCATGTATAAATGTCCATACTTAATATAGTTCCAATTCATAGAACGAGATTGTCATTGGACGGACATGTCCATATTTTTTATTTTTTGAAGTCTGTTTAAACGTGGTTAATTTCTCTCTCCTCTCCTTGGAAAAACATTATGCAGGTTAAGGAAGCAATGGCTGCAGTAGAGAAAGCCCAGAAATTACAACAAAATGTGGCTAATAGGAAAAGAAACAGGCAATTAGAAACAGGTGGACTGGTTATTATGAGAGCACTATATGGAAATCAGATAATTTTGGACAACTTAAAGTCATCAAGTGAAACAAGTTTTGAATCAACTTCTGATGTCATTGATGTTACGATACCTCTGAATTTTCTTGTTAATGATTCTGGCCAACTCAAGGTATGCTTCCTTTCTTTTAATGATGCAATTTCTCACAAAAAATATTCTAGTTAGCTTACTACGTCTAATAATTTTTTGTGTCTGCCTACTTATCCATATGAATAAAAAATTCAGCATACTTCTATTGTTGGACAGTAATAAAACTAATGATAGGGTGTATGTTTCTGTTTAATGGATCAACCAAAATTCTGAACCTTGAGTTTTACATAAAAGAGTCTTAGGGTCCAAGGATGCGTGGTCCTTAACTTTTATATCTATTCCAAAGCATGACCCCCCATTCTATATACGATGGTATAAGTCCCTCTCCCATTACTGTCAAACATATCTCTCCAACTACACTAACCACCTGCTTTACTAACCTGACTTCCCACTAATCAGTCACCCTTTACGTCTCATTGATTCCTTTTCCTAGAACAGACCCAATGGACATAGTCGTGTAATTATATATGTATTTGTTAATGATGTGATTTTTAAAATAACTCTGGAATCTTGAACAATTAATCAAACCTGTACCCTTCCCTTGTTGTCTGTAGAAGCTTCAGAAACCTTGTTGAAAGGTCAAACGAGAGAGAATTCATTCAAAACTTAATAATCCTATAAATTAAATTTACAAGAAAGTTGAAAGAAGCTACTAATTTATGTATTTGATGTTGAATATTGATATTGAGCCTTTACTGATTAAGAAAATTCGTTTATTTTTAATGAAAATGCAATTATACTGTGACGTGAGACCAATCCTATATAGTTGAATTTTCATAAATTAATACTCCTATTTTTAAATAACTGTCGGTATTTTGAAAAAAACATGGTTTCTAAATATATTTTGGTTGTAAAGTTTAAGATTGTATAAATTACCTTTTTATCAATTATTTTGATTTGTATAGCTTAATTTGAATCGTTAAATATTTTGAAATAGAGGAAGTATTATAAGGTTGAAGACATGTGACTTCATCAAAACAAGTCTTTGAAATATGCATCGTTTACTTGGCGAGACGATTTCTTTTTTTCTATTAGATAAATGTCCTTTTTGTTGCTGCAGCTTCACGAAGGTGTGAAAAAATCAGGCATTATGGGTTTCTGTGATCCATGTCCAGGAAGACCAAAGGAGTTGTATGTAGAGTACGTTTATGCTGGCAATCAATACCAGGTATTACCAGTTGCTTGTTGCGATTCAAAGTTTTGTTTTAACCTCTCACATCTGGTTGATCCAAGGGCTAATTCAAATTTTGAATCAGGTTTGGGTTGGTGATTATGAAGAACTAGAGATCCCTAAAGGCAGCCACAGAATATAAAGGATTATCATTAACACATCAATATTCCATTGTAACACCTCTTGCAGTTTTGCCTGGTTTACATGCTTGAGGTGTAACATTATCTTGTCAGATGGAATTGGAAGAGGTACTTTTTGCAATTTTTGGGCCAGTGGTACCATCGCTTAGTTTAAAATTCTTTTATTTTTCTCATAATTACTTACACCCCAAAAATGTATGAATAAGGACAACTTAGCAGTTGCGTTCCGCTAAACAATTAACTCTGCTGCTGGATCCCAATTTTGGTTGGCTAGTCATAATCCTTTTGATGTTCGATGTTGCCCATTCACATAAAGCTTCTATCAGGGCAACGGCTGTAGGAATTGATAAGATGATAATACAATCAAGTTTTCATGCGCGTTTGTAATTCGAAGATAGTAATACATTATATGACAATAACATCCGGAAATAAAATTTGAGCGAAACATTTTTATGTTATAAATTGTACCTGCGAAGCCGCTGAATACCTTTGTGTAGGTGGCCGCCCAGTTGGCTCTTTCATGCAACTTCCAATTTATAATGACTGGCAATTAAATGAGGATTTAATACTCTATATCTAATAATTTATTTAGAGTATTTGTCTTAATTATTACAATTAAAAAAATAATAATGTATAACGAAATTGGTAATAGTGAGTTGTTTCTCTTCGAAAAAGATTGGGTTGAACGTTTTTTTTTAAATAAGCATTTCGCTTTTAAGTTTAAAGAAAGGCAAATATAACATTTTTATTTAATTTAATATTTTGACCTTAAAATACCTACCAAGTTTATGAAGATAAAAAGGAAAACGTTGCCTTGCCCCAGTAATTTCTAATTTATTGGAGGTGTTTTAAAATGTTTTTTTTTTCGTAAAAAGTTAATTTGGTCTAGTTGAAAATCATCTTGGCGATTCGTTTCGTTAATTCTAAAAAAATCAGGATTTAATAATCGAACAAAGAACCGAATCAAAATAGATGACAAAATGTTTTGATGATTTTTATTCTCTATTTCTCAATTCATTTTTATATTTAATATTAAATATTTTAAAATAAATAGAGTCATATTTAATAAAGATATATAAGATAATACATAATCTATTATAATGTTTATATAGATAAGCGATTGCTTTTATCATTTTTAATATTACTCTTATTTTCAATTCAATGATTTACTTTTAATACTATTTTTTTTAAACTATATTTATCAGACAAAATCACTGCCTCTGTTATATTGAATATATATATATATATATATATATATATATATATATATATATATATATATATATATATATATATATATATAACAGTTAGTTAAAAATTAATGAATTAATTAATATGTTAATGATTCAAGTTTAGATGATTGGATTGGATACATATGAGTTGTAAACTTTTTAAAAATGTGTTCAATTCTTATAAAAAAAACTAAAATTAAATTATAAAAATATGTAATAAAACATATAACTTATAAGTAATATATTCCTTAAGTAATGGAAGGAATAAAAAATGCTGATTATCTTCGTACGGATTATGCATATTTCTTTTCTCTGTAAGATCGCGACACGTGAGAATAGAAAACAATCTAAAGCCGTTGAAATTCATAAGTTCCACTCGACGCAATACAATTGGTAACGTTAGGGCAAATTATGGCGGGAGCTACTCCGTCCTGCGTTTTCTGTGCGATTGCCACCAAATCCACCTCTGACAATGCTCTTCTTCATTCGGTTCGTCTCTTTATCTTTCTCCCTCTTCATTTTAGTTTCTGTTTCCTTTTTGATTCAGTTTCGTGATCTGAAATTACAGGACGATAAGGTTGTCGCATTTCAGGATATTAATCCTTCCGCTTTCAGGTACTCACAATGGGTCGATATCTTAATTTCCAATCTTAATTAGTGGCATGCACAATTTCAATTTGCCAATTTCACGATTGACTAATTTTTCAAATGTTTATATATTGTTGGACATTTAACTGAGGTGACTGATTTGAACCTGGCAACTTTTAGGCATTACTTGGTAGTTCCTGTGGCGCACATTCCTACAGTTAAAGATCTTCAGAGGAAAACTGATGACTATTCTTTGGGTAAAGAAACTCATAGCTGGGGCCACTTCAGATTTTAAAATTTATATATGTATGTGTTCAATTTTGTATGTTGGAATTTCATGATTGGCTAATTTATACAGTGAATCACATGTTAGAGGTGGGGAAAACGTTATTACTTAGAGATGCGCCTCAGTCCCAGCAGTACAGGTATTGTGTGTTGTTTACAATTTATAAGGGCAGTAAGGCAATGCATGTTATTTTCTGCTCCGTGTTATTAGATTTATCGACGATGCTGATTTGAATTGCAATTCCTCCCACTAATTGTTACTTGGAAATGGTAGAGAGTGATGTAATGGAATCCTTGTGTCTCAAGCACAACAAACGAATATATATATATATATATATATATATATATATATATATATATATATATATATATATATATATTCTATTTTGTCAAAATTACTGCCACCACGTATGTGGCTTCACTTTTGTGTGCTAAACATTTGGATTAGACTCTATATATCGTATTAGATAATAGATATGGATCGTACTCAATCTTACGAAGTTTATATATCACTTATATATTATATTTTAGTCATATTTCTAGGCGATGTAAAATTTTTAACATATTTTCTCATGTCGAGGAATAGACATATCAACAGTATGGAATGGAATTAAACAGTTATCGGTGATCCGATAATGGATGGAGTGGTAGGTTCAACCACCTTCGTTAGGATCTGATACCATGTTGAAGTAAATGCTAGACTCATGTAATGGAATACAGGAAACTCCCGCATTTGTTTAAAGCAGGAGGTTGATTTGATCTGAAGTTAATTGTTGTACTTGAACAGAACATCACTATGTGATTCTTTATGTCACGATTTTTGGACAGATTTGGCTTTCATCAGCCTCCACTGAACACTGTCAACCACCTACACCTCCATTGTTTGGCGCTACCATATACACCCAGGTACCAATTCATCATTGTGGTTACTGCATACTTAGGCTTGTTATGTATGCTGCATGTGGATACTTAAACTTGCTACTTCATGAGCTTTAAGCAGATGGCGATCCATAAAATACTTATCTTTTGGACCAGTTGGCTTCATTGAAGCAGAGAAGTTGCTGGAAAAGATAAAGCCATTGTCCACATTTCAATGAAAGTATAAGGATCAGTTTGATTTCCAGATACTTCAATGTTATAATGCTTTCTGATTGAAGATCAACGTTTCAGATTAATTCACTTCCAAATAGTTTGCAGTTAAAACAATCAGAGCCTAGTTAATTTTAAATTACTGGTGATATTATATGTGGCTTTCTCATTTTTCCTGAAAGAAGCTAGATAGATTGGATCTCATTCAAACTTACCTCTGATTGGTTTTATGACAAGCAAAGTTTGTAGTTACAGTTATCCTTTTGGATCTGTTCTTGAGCATGATGCCTTACATGATATTTTGACCTTCTTTTGGTGAACAACAATAATGGTAACATCTATACATTGTATCTCAAGTTCTGACACATTTTTAGCATAACTGCCTGACGCCTTTATAGGAACTTCAGGATACTGTAGTCGCAAGCTTGGTAATTACCATATTGTGATGACACTAGCATAGGCAAACTTCTTTGGCTTTCTGAAAGGCCCTGGGAAGACTTGAGAGATTAGTCCTTCACATACCAGTAGTTCTTTATTTTTTCTCGTTCGAGGAAGAAGTGACTGTGGTGATGACTTGGTTTTTTAGTTTGTGTTTCAGAATAATGGAATTTGATAATTGGGGATGTCCAATACAGTTAACAATATTATGCACGATACTTCCACAATTGAGCAAGGAAAAAATTATTGAGCTCAATTATTTTATTTAGTATATTTGCGACTGGTAGGAATACTTTCGGACAGTGTAGATAATATAAGTCTATATAAATGTAGTAGTTGACACGTAGTATTTGTTCAGTGTCATTTAAAAAATAATGTCCTTTATTGTGGACTAGCACTAGTCATGTAGTCTTATCCAAAATAAAATAAAGTATTTGTACGCTTTATTCAATTTACTTATATCTTATAAAATGTAATAAGAACACATTGTAGAGTTTATGTAGCTTGTTTTAGTTGTCAAGGTTTCCATGATAATACTGCAAGAGTCAAATAGTAATTCTGTCGCATGCAGTCTTGCCACTCTCTTCCAGCACTATTTTCTCTGTAGTTGGGATCAAGACCTATTAGTGGAGGTATTCAGCCTTCTTGTGTTACATCTAGAATATGTCACTAAAGTACAGTACCTATTTATTGTGGGGACTGGTGATGTTTTTTCAGTAAGTAGATTAGAAGATCAATGTATGTTTCACTCAATTAGATTTTTAGATCATGATCTTCAAAAAAATTCACAACTTAAAAATAAGCACCCATCTTCGAAACCACAATAGATTTGGATATCCTACATTGATGTTTTCAACTTCACACAATAGGTGTATAATTTTGTATTTGAGCAATAAAACGCTCTTTCAAAATTACTTACTACCGGATGGATAGTTGCATTTATGTGCAGCTCAATCTTGAACAGTAGGGGCTACAATTACATCCGCACCACCGTTGATTGTAATGGACAACAATGCGTAGTTTGTGAGAATAAAATAAACCTCAGAGTTAAGGGTCTAGTGTTGAGTAGACCTGTGATTTGTGGTAAACTTTTTTGTGTTCAATTTCTATAGATAAGTGGGGTTTAACTAAGTTGAGCATCATACGATATCATAAATTCTTTTATGTGTTTAATTCCTATAAATAAATATAAAAAAGATAATTTGTGAATTATATTATTGTTGTTTCTACTTGGGGTTAGAATCAATTTTGGTAGCTAACAAAACATATTATTCTAATGTGAACATCACATAGGTCCAGCACTAGCACAAGAGCCGAATTACTACCACCAAAGATACTAGATCAAGCAAAATAGTGAACAAATAAAAAGGTAAAATTCGAGATATATATTATTTGTTAAATTTTATACTCCATGGTAGAATATATTTATGTCTGGTTATTACCATGACTTTATCGTTAATTTTTGGATGGGAAATAATATATTATTAATAAACAATAAATACTTAAAAAGTGAAAGAAAATAAAATTATAAATATATTAAATAATTATTAAATTTGAGTGGTTTAAAATTATAAATTAATTATATTTGGGGATACAATCTCTTAGTTCAGAAGGTCTTTCACTTGTTACCATCATATTGTTGGGTAAAAAGGTTTATCACTTGTGACTATCGTATTTTCTTCCGGCTTTTCACTTTTTTGGGAGAAAGGATGGATCGGAAAAAAAAGTAGATTTTAATATGTTTACACCAATAGAAAATGTACAGGAAAATACACATCAGAAGTTATATGATACTGATGTAAAAGTGCAGGAAGCCAATTCAAACCTTCTAACATGGAAAAAATTGTCATAAAATACTATCTAACACATGTGGATAAGACCCAAATGACAAAGCTGTAAAATGTAATTTATCTAATTTAAAAAAATGCATTTTGAGCTAGATTATGTTATTTAAAAAAAAAGTAAAATCTCGTATCACTTAAAGAAGTAAGCAATTTTCGAATGGAAAAATAGTATATAACGGAAGTCTCAAGGCAGGGTTGAGTAAAAGGACAAAGATTGAATACTTGAAATTGGGTAAGAGTTGGGAATATAACATAATAATAATGGACATGGTAGTGAAACTGTGAAAGGCTTCAATGCCTGGTATAATGTTGGCAGAATTGAATGCAGTTTTTCACTTCAATGCTATGCCAGAACATTCACGAAGATATTTTGAATGGCAATGACTAACGAGGCAAACTTTTGCGCCACAATCTCTTATGCTGCCCCCCATCTTCGAAAAGTGGAAGGAGTATGGTAGCTTTTGGATTCACTAGAAGACATCGGATAATAAATTTATCCATCATGAATTCCAAAATAAACGGGTATGGCAACAGCTGTAAATTAGAAATTGTAGAACCACTTTAAGAAAAGTGCAGAAGTTATTAAATTCTATGGTTGAGAAGAATCAAGAATAAAGATAATCCACACCAAGAATGTTTGTAGCTAAATCATTTTCTCAGTCGGGCATAGCATATATTTTTCTGCTAAAGAATGAATGGAACCAGCAAGGCAAAAGAACTTGCCCCATATATTTAATGTCAGTATTTATGTTAGAAAATTATGTAGATGAGTTGGAATGGCCTACAAAATATTGAATTCTTAATAGCTTCTGACTTGTCGATATATTCACCAACATTGACGAATTCCTTTGTGTTGTTTCCTTTTTGGTCGTCGCCTACTATACGCATGGAAGCTTTATAATTTATAATTCCTCATTTCCCCATTCATGCTTCTTTTTTCTTGGGATTGGTCTACACCATCCATTAGGTTTGGTAGAGCATCAATATTAGATATAGATGGCTTTGTTGACCCTATTAATCATCACAAAATAAAGATAACTGTGCTTTTCCTTAATGTTTCTACCAAATACATCCACAAAGAATGCAAGTTATGTATTCATGTGTCATCCAAACTTTGGTGGAACCACTCATGAGAAAAACCATATTATTCTTGCATTTTTTGAGACAAATAATTGGTGAGACCGACCCAAATAGCTATCATCCACTACTAATGACATGAAAGCGACTTCAGAAGGTTGAACACGGGTCAAATTTTAACACCGTGGCCAGGAAGAAGGCTTTCTCTTATCTTATTGCATCTAATGCTTCTTAGTTTTCTAATTAATTTGTGTTGTTAATAATGATGAGGTTGTTGACTTGATACTTTGGTTAATAATAAGGATTTCACTGTTAAATAAAGAAACGAAAATAAGTTCAGATCATAACATAGTCAAAAGATTAAACAAGAAAAATGACGAGAAGATTAATAGTATCTGAAATTATTACATATCATCTATATTTTATTTGTTTAACGAATAAACCTCATAACTAGCTTTCATGGTTTAAATCAGAAAATTATACGGTAGATGTTATATATCGCACTTTATTTTCGTTTGGATACAATTTTTATCTTTTTTAGAATATTATAATTATTTTAAGTATATTGCGAATATAAAAAATAAACTTATGAGATTAACTCTATAATATAATTGATGATAGAGATGAAAAACTATAAATGAAAACAAAAATTAAAAACTCTTATATGATAAATTTATTAAATTTAATATTAATTATTTTAAAGGATACTTAATAATAATAATAATAATAATAATAATATTTAACGGTAATTTCTCCTGGCAATAAAGAATATAATTATTGCTAATTTGTTCCAATTTAAAATCAAAATATAAATATTCTTCAATTATTAGTATTTTTCTGAAAATACTTTTATTTTTATAATTTGAGTATAAAATGATATCAAAATAAAATTCAATAATAATTAATATAAAGATATTATTATTAATATTAAAATTAAAATCCCACATTTTTTTTTTGGGTGTGAAATCTTTTTTGTCATGCTATGAGATAGTGATATGTACCCATAATTTTCATTGTAGCCTAACAAAATTGAAAATCTTATTCAACGAAAAAGTAATCAGCAGGAAGAAATTTTGACTAAGTAGTGTACGTTGTTAGGTTAATACATTATTCATCGAAATTGACTTTGACACCTACTTTCATCGTCAACATCTTCATCTTTTTCCAACATAATGTTTTCAGTGTATGTGGATCATTATTTGTATTTCAGAGTTTAGTTGAAGAAACATTACATTTATTTTTTTTATCTTATTTTTTTATAATACGTATCGTAAACATAATTGTATTTTTAGACTCTTAACATTCTTTTAAACAAATCATTATATAATTTTTGAAGAAAAAAATTATTAAGTTGCTTTATAATAGAATATTTTTTTTATTAATATTTTGTAAACAACTTTTATTAGGATTATGGTTAGTGTAAATATAAATTTATGAAGTTATTGTTAACTATATGAAATTAATAATTAACATTTATAATCTTAGGGTTTTTAAAAAGATTTTAACTTACCTTTTATCTTTTTCATAAGTAGATTTTATATTACAATTTATATTATCTGAATTTTTGTAAAAAACGTTTAATTATTAATATTTTATATTAAAATGGAATGCTTGTAATTTGTTAGACGAAATTTAGTTTTGGTAATTGGTCCCTTCTCCATGCAATTATGTTATGTAATGTTATTTTTAAATTATTCGTTTTAAAAAAATCAATTTTAGCAATACTATATTTATATTAAAATAATTTAATTTAAAAAAATATGAACGATATTATAATACCCTTACTATTGACTAAATTGTTTTAGAGAGCACAAAGTTATAAGTTTATCCATTAAAATGTTGCAAACACTCATATAATTAAAAAAAATTATTCTATAACATTTGATAACACTTAACACGAATTTTTAATTTAACAGAAAAAATATAAATTTAATTTAACTTAGCATATTTTTAGTTCATTAGATTATCCATTTTAGAATGTTACTGGCACTCCTCTAATTTTAATTTTGTGATTCTATAAAATTGTTATAAAATTTAACATGATCTTTAATTTAAGGCAAGCTTTATTAATTATTTTTACTTGAACCAATTTGTAATATGTACTTAATTTAAAAAAAATGAAAAAATATATTTTATGAAACATTGACGTGGATTTCTTTTGCCACGTTTTCTTTTTCTTTGTCGTGCCTTGTTTTAACTCTTAATTCAATAAATTCGTTGATAGAAGCCTTACGGAAATAGGACAAATAGCTATGTAATCCTCTAAAAACTTTAGAGAAGAAATGGGTGTCCTTAAACTCTTAAATAATTAAGTATTTAAATATAATTTTATAATTTTTATTATAATTGTTACGGCCCATACTTAATTTTAGAATTTTATTTTTAAAAGTTATATCAGTAGATTAAATTAAATTAAATATATATAAAAGACTATTAGGTAGAAAATTTATGAATAATGGAATATTTATGTTGGAAAAAGATTGATGCCCACTTGATACAACTTCACACCTAAATAAATTGCAAGAAACAAATGAAGATAGAAAGCAACACATCTATCAGCGGAGTTTGATTGAAAGAGATGTTTAAAAACAAATGATAATTTTATGAGAAGTATTTCCAGAAGGAAAAACCTGTAAAAAGAACAAAAAATGATAAAGAGGCCATAATAATGTGAGATGGAGGTTTGTGAAGGTGGTGTCTTTACCGAGAGAGAAAGGTAAAGCAGCAAAAACCGCAGAACAGAGTGAGTCATGACAAACAAGGTTCTCTCATACTTTCCTTAAGCTACCAAATCTCAATTATTGTTCCAAAACCAACATCATTGCAGTCTCCAATTCCAAAGAAGAATTTCCAAATGATTAAAGTCTTCTTTACTTGAATATTGAGTAATCATCAATTGACTACACTCCATTAATTAACCAAAGACAATAACACCTTCCTTGTATATGCCCACCACCAACAACTTACTATGAGACTATCATACTATGATATCATACCCACCTTTATAATCTCTCATTCTCCCGCAATTCAAAACCTGTCTCTAACTCAAACCATGGCCCCTCCCCTGTTTCTCCTCTGTTTCATGCTCTGCATTTCACACGCACACCAAATGATTCTGTTACCCTTAACACACTCAGTTTCCAAAACCCAATTCAACAGTACCCATCACCTTCTCAAATCCACCTCCACTCGCTCAGCCTCACGCTTCCACCGCCAACGCCAAGCCCAGAACTCAATCTCTCTTCCACTTTCATCAGGAAGCGACTACACCCTTTCCTTCAACTTGGGTTCACACCCTTCTCAATCCATAACCCTTTACATGGACACAGGCAGCGACCTCGTGTGGTTCCCATGCGCTCCCTTCGAATGCATTCTCTGCGAAGGCAAATTCAACGCCACAAAACCCCTCAACATCACGCGCTCCCGCCGCGTATCGTGCCAATCCCCTGCATGTTCCACAGCACACTCCTCTATGTCCTCCCACGACCTCTGCGCAATCGCACGTTGTCCTTTGGACAACATTGAAACCTTTGATTGCTCATCTTCCACGTGCCCACCTTTCTACTACGCTTATGGTGACGGAAGCTTCATTGCACGCCTCTACCGTGATTCTCTCTCTATGTCCTCTCTTTTCCTTAAAAACTTCACTTTCGGTTGCGCCCACACCGCACTCGCCGAACCCACCGGCGTCGCAGGTTTCGGTCGGGGCTTGTTGTCCCTCCCTGCGCAACTTGCTACCCTCTTTCCTAACCTCGGTAACCGTTTTTCTTACTGTCTGGTTTCTCACTCTTTCGATAAAGAAAGAGTTCGCAAACCGAGTCCACTCATTCTCGGCCGCTACGACGATTCCGGGGAGGGTAGTGAGTTTGTTTACACCTCCATGCTTCGGAACCCGAAGCATCCTTATTTCTACTGCGTTGGACTTGCCGGGATATCCGTAGGGGAGAGGACTATCCCGGCGCCGGATATGCTGCGGAGGGTGAACCGCAGAGGGGACGGCGGCGTGGTTGTTGACAGCGGAACCACATTCACGATGTTACCGGTGAGTTTGTACAACGCGGTGGTGAGGGAGTTCGACCGGCGAGTTGGGCGAGTTCAGAAGCGCGCGAGTAAGGTGGAGGAAGAAACGGGACTTGGACCGTGTTATTATTTGGAAGGGTTGGTGGAGGTGCCTACGGTGACGTGGCACTTTCTGGGGAATGATTCGAATGTAGTGCTGTCTAGGGAAAATTATTTTTACGAGTTTTTGGATGGTGGTGATGGGATTAGGAGGAAAGTGGGGTGCTTGATGTTGATGAATGGTGGTGATGATACTGAGTTGAGCGGTGGACCCGGGGCCACACTTGGTAACTATCAGCAACAAGGGTTTGAGGTGGTGTATGACTTGGAAAACCAGCGCGTGGGTTTCGCTAAGCGGCAATGCGCGTCGCTTTGGAATAGCCTTAACCGTGACAAAAGCTAGTGTTTACTGTGCTCTGTTTACCACTGGATCACTGCTTCTTGCCAGTGGGTCGGGTCTGGTATTTGTAAATGAAAAATGCGATGGCGGGTTTGGGTTAATCGTCGTATCACTTTTTTTTTTTTTTTTTTACTTTCAGGTAAAAATTAAATTGTGAAGGTCAATAGTTTACAGGTTAATATATTTTTTTATTTTTTTGTTTTTTTAACTAATTTTAACGTTTGAAATTGTGTTGTGTATATTACAAGTCTTATTTTGGTGGGGGTTTCTCCCCTTCAATTTAAACCATATGGTATAATTTATTAAAACATCAAGTAAGTATTTAATGTTTAGTTAAATTATTTGGCTAAATTTTTTGGAAAAAAAATTGTACAAGAAAAATAATATATCTAATTAACTTCATTATCTTTTTAACTGTATTTTCAATTCTGTAAAATTGGGACTATAGGTTAATAGAATCTCTGTAATATCACGAATATTTTTCAAATTTTTATAAAAATGGTAAGAAATAAGTTTTCTACAAATTTAAATTATTTTTTAGAAAAATTTACAGAAAATAACTAATTTTTTAGTAATGTATACTTAATCTCATTTTATTTTTTATAATTAAAAGTATTCGTTAAATGTTTCATCATTATGAATGGATCAATTTGATCTATCATTACAAATTTACAAATTTAATCATATGTGTGATTTTAATCATTGAAAATGTGTGAATTAATTATTATAAATATATGGATTTAATTATTTAATATATAAAATTGATAGCATCAAGTGATATATAAAATATCATTACTATGTATTCATAAGTTTTAAGTTTAAATTCCAACATATCATTTAGTTACGAATTTTATACATATTATTTAACTTTTAGTCGTAGAAATACAATGATTTGTTTTTCAAAGGTAACTAAACAATTAGATTTAACATAATCTTATCTGAACATTTAATTATCATATAGAAGAAGAAAAAATAATTAGACTAAAATTTAAAAGAAATAGTATATATATATATATATATATATATATATATATATTATTTTACTCAATTTTTAGTAACAAAATAATAACATTTTATTCTTATTTTATTGTTATTGATAAAAGAAACTAATTAATAAATAGAATAAAACTATATATATATAATTTGATAAGGTGATATTGATAGTGATTATTTAATGTTATTATGAAATAAAGACAAAAATATATTATTCTTATCATTAATTTTAGATTTTTAAATTAAGTAGTCTTAGTATATGGGAGATTTGATTAGAAAAAATACATTAAAAATATTGAAAATAAATGATGATAAAACTTTAAAATTTTAAAATTTGTATCCTAATATCATTAGAGAATATAAAAAAATACATAAAAAAGTTTTTTTCGTAGATAATGAATTAAATGAGTTTTATTGTATGATAAATTTAAAAACAAACATGTAATTTTCATTTTTATTATATAAATAAAAAATTAAAATATAAATTAGAATATACAATTTGAAAAGAATTATTTTCAATGAATTTATAAATTCTAAAATATTTCACTTCTTAAAAAATTGAGAAATTTTTTATTATAAAAGTATTTATAAACAATTTTTTAAATAAAATAAATAATTTTTGTTGATTAAGTACAGTTAATTTATTTTGCAAATCATCATTCATATTATTTTAAAACTTTTTGTCACTAAATAAATATATAATATAATAATAAATAAATAAATGATAACGATACATTTTTTAAAATATTATGGATAATTTATAACAATAATAAATGGATTATTATTATATATATATATATATATATATATATATATATATATAAAACTAAACTTTTTAATCAAAATTACAGTTTGATTATGTGTAAAAAATATAGATGATTACTATATGATGAGGAACATTTAATTTTCACAATAAACTACCCTATAAACCTAAATGCTATTTTTTATATTTTTAAAATGTTCACTATATTTAGAAAAATGTTATAATAATATTATTAAAAGTTTTAACTAAACACAAAGTTATTTAAGTATTATATTATTGTTTTCATTCACTAATACGTTTTTTTTTAATAATCAATTTCAAGTTTTTACTTGTGTTAAATAATATTAGTTTTGATATATTTTACAATTTTAATATGATGAGAATAGGAATAATATAATTTTAATAATATATATGCTATGTATAATAATACTTTACTTAAGTTTTATTTTTATTTAATGTTTCTATTAAATTATTTTGTATTGGTATATGTGATTTTACATTAATGTTATAATTCAACTTTATTTTTTGTGGTGTGATTCGAGTGTTTATTTTAAAATAATATAAAAATATTATATGTGAACAAAGAAAATACATTATATTATGTAAATAATTTTAATTATTTATATAAAATAATATGGTCAATTTCATTATATATACAGTATACATTTTTTCACCCTATATCATCTCTTTCAATGATTATTATACTCACTTCGTGCCAAAAAAATTCAACATTATTATACTCATCATCCACACAAATATATTCTTCGATTTATCTTTCCCTGTTACATGAATTCATCCAACAAAACATAACAATCCATGTTCATTTGAATTAATTCAATATTCATAAGATAATATCCAATTCATCTTAATTTATTTAAATTAAATACATAATAATGATCACTCAAATATAAACACCAAAAATAATCAAATAATTTATTAAAATATAAGTAATTTATAATAAAATGAATTTCCTGAAAGAGTATAAATTTCATTATGAAATGGTCCTTTTGGAAAGAACATTTGAGACATTTTAAAATGAATTTAGCACAATTTGTAAACACCACTCTAAATGAATTTTAAACTATTTGGGTAAGCTTATATTGGTACATGCTGTTTTAGTTCCATTAGATTAGGACAAACCTTATTATTTATATTCTTTTGGGATTCAAAACGAGATCTTTCAGTAATAACAATCCATTGCTTAAAAAATTGAGATAAAAGTAGTTTATAGAAAGTAAAGAAATTTATTCGAAAGCAGAAATTCAAAAGGATAATCGTAGTTACTAAAAAAATTAATGTCAAACATTATTGGATCAATGTCATATAAAAAAAAAGCACTTAAAAGAAGTTATAAATTCATCAAATATTTGTCAGTTTATTGTCATTATGAAATCAGTACAAAATATTTTTCATTTGATTAAAGCTAATTTCTATTAAAGAATTTAACTCAAGCTGTGAAGTTTTTATTTTTTTCATTAAATTCTGATGAAAATATTATTATTAGTTTCGTAAAGGTTACAGTGTACTCCGATGTTGTTCAAACGAGGATACCGAACTTGGTTTGATTGTTTTCGCGGTTCCTTGGCACACACATCATTCCAATTCGATTCTTCCAACATCAATCATCACTCTTTTTTTCTTTCACCAAAAACCCTCTTCCGCTTCCTCTTCCATTTCATTCTTCGTCCTACCTGAATTCCTTCTCGTAAGTTTTTTTTTTTTATTATTATCTTTTAATGTTAGTTACAATGCATCAACCTCTTTCTACTGTTTCACAATTCCTTCCCTCTGTTCTGTTAGTTACATTTTTTTCCCATCTGATTCCAATTTTCGTATAGAATTTAACCTTGGTTTCACACACTTTTCGGTCGTGCATCCAGACACACGGTTCGTATAAAATAATGATTCCTTTTGATCTTTATAGATCACCCTCGAACTTGTTTTAAAATTTCTACTGTTAAAACAAATGGCCATCAATTATGGTTTTCAACTGTGAGGTATAAGATTTTAAACATGGATTTTGATTTTTTTTTAATTCAGATTATGTTGTAAAAGATATTGTGAGAAATTAAATTTGTTTCTGCCATGCTAAGAGTTTAATTGAAGGCATGCATTTGCAAGCTATAAGATATATTGAATAGATTTGTGTCTGAATGCACGTTTTCAGTATTATTGTAGTTGGAAATGAGAAGTCCGAAGGCAGAATCCGAAGACAGGGACGTGATTATAGCAAGAGGTGATGGAGAAGATGAATTGTGTTATGATTTTCATGGTTTGAAGTTTGATTGTGGAAGTAGTGGTGGTAAGAAAAAAAAAAGTTTTCATCCTCCGATCGAAACGCATTGGGATCTGCATCCGTCAGCTTCAGGGAAAAAGTCTAATCCGTCCCCTGTGAAGTCGCTCTTGTCTTACCCGTTCATGAAATTTAGGAAGAGTAAAAGCCTTGTAATGATTCTAGAAGGAGTTCGTGATCCTAAGGAGAAACCAATTGTCGAGTCTTTTCGCGAAATGCTTTTACAAGAAGGTCTCGTACCACCTAAGCACGATGATTATCACACTCTTCTCAGGTATTATATGTATAACAATGTATCTCTTAATTGCTGTTCTATGACAAGTTTAATTAATTGCAGAGTTAGCTTTCTTACTGCATAGATTCCCATTGATGCAAGGTTTCTGCGCATGAGGGATTTCGACATGTTAAAATCCAAAGAAATGTTCCAAAATTGTCTCAATTGGCGCAAGGAATTTCGAGTAGACCTGCTTCCAAAGGTGAACAACATTAAACCTGCAATCAAGAGCTTTAAATGTTAATTATTATTTCTATGATTAAAATGGACTAGAATTGAAAGTTTTATTTTATCCGGTTCTCAAGAATGAATTTAGAAGTTCTTCACCTCTTCATGTGATTATTGTTTAAAATAATTGTGTTCTTGAACTTTGTGCATTCATGATAGCTAGTATAGTTACCATTCAGTTGAATGATGTGTTGAATTTGATTTATATTCGGGGTTCACATATTGGCACATAATCAGGAATTCAATTTCACTGAGTACAATGAAGTGAAGAAATGTTATCCTCATGGATTCCACGGGGTTGATAGATTTGGAAGACCCGTGTATATTGAGAGAATTGGGATGGTAGACCTTAACAAACTGGGGCAAGTTACCACATTTGAAAGGTTTATCAAACATCATGTGTCAGAGCAAGAGAAAACTCTCAAACTAAGATACCCTGCATGTTCTCTAGTAGCTAAAAGGCACGTAGCATCCACTACAAGTATCTTGGATGTCAACGGAGTAGTAAGCACATTTTTTCCCTTTTCATCTCAACTTGCTAGCCATTTTCCTGTATTATATTGAGGAATCCTTGTTAGTGGTGCATATCTATATTATAAGGTATCTAAACACTGTTACAATTATTTGGTTGTATTCTTACATTCCAGGGAATGTCTAATTTCTCAAAGCCCGCAAGGTACCTCTTTATGGAAATTCAGAAGATCGATAGCTGTTACTATCCGGAGGTATTCTTTTACATTGTAGCTCACATGCTGATGATTTGGATTTGCTTGTGATGAATGTGTGAAACTGGGATCAATTTATCTGATGATAAGACATGTTTTCAAGTTGTTAACAGTGATTCAACATAACAAAATAATTTGGCATCTTTAAATGGTGTAATTTATCACTTAAGTATACAACTTTGTAATCTGCAAATGGTTGAATACTTAGCACTTAATATGAAGACATGATGCCATACTCAAAAACAGATTGTTAAGATTTTTTAATCATCCAAGATGGAGAAGAAGATATGGTTAAATATTGTGTTTATAAGATGAGTGTGCAGTTAATTAGTATTTATATTTTTATTGTTGCAGACTCTAAATAAGCTCTTTATTATTAATGCGGGATCTGGGTTTAGGATGCTGTGGAAAGCAGTAAAGGCATTCTTAGATGTACGCACAGTAGCAAAAATTCAGGTATGAATAATTGAAACTATATATTATTTCATTATCAGATACCATGAATTTGCACATGTTATTCTTGTATTACTTTCCTGCTTGTATCCATGTTGAACATGTAAGATTTTGGTTCAGGTGTTGGGCTCTAATTATCTCAGTGTTCTGCTTGAGGCTGTCGAGCCAAGGTAATATGACTTCTCCATGAATATGACTAGTACTACTAGGTGTGTTATACAAAACATGATAAATTTTAAAAATTAAAGTACAGGTATGCTAATATAATTTTTAAATGATATAAATAAAAAATATAAAGTATTTATAGATGGTTAATGTTGGTGATATTATTATATTGAAAAAATATAATTTAAGAGAATGAATTATTTTTATTTCTCTTTTCTTGTATATTTACATATATTATAAAGATAGAAAAATGATCTTTCAAATTTTATACCAATTATAAGTATAAAGAATAACATTAATATTATTCAATATTTTTAAAATATATTTAATCTTCATGATAATCCATTGCTCAACATTCTCTTTCTTAATATTTTATTCTTTTACGTAAATCTCTTCCTTAATATTTTATTCTTATACTCAGTTTTTCTTATGAATCAAATGAGTTATGCCTTATTTGGTACACTCACTTAACATTCTATCAACTCTCATGTTTTTTTTTTTAATTTCATAATTTTTTTTCTATATAATCTTCAACTTTGTTTCTTGTTTAAGTGTTTCTTTAAAGTTTTTAGTTCTATAATATTTTAATTTTAATTGCATCTTACATAAATATCAATAAAAAAATTATTTTTTTAGGAATTGTAATTGGAGATGATGAACTTAAAACTTGAAGAGATTGATGTAGACCAGGAATATGATCATATTAAATTCCTCTTTAGTTATTAAATTTTATTGTAAAATTTTTTTTGAAATTGTTTTGTCTTGCATATTTTTTTTCTCTTCAATTCCAATAAAATATTTTCATCAAACTATATATCTGCTAATGATTACCTTTTTAGTATTTAAATTATAAAGTATATAATCCTTTAAAATAAAACTACGATTAATAAAGGTATCTCTCACACTTCTTCAAGTTTTTTTTTTTTTTTTTATGTTTTGTTTACTTGAATATAAAAAATACATCTAAAATTTTTAAGATTGATTTCCTTAAAACTTTTAACAGTGTCATATTTCAATTTATTCTATAACGTACACTTTGTCATCTCTATCATAGTTTAATTCTTAACCGATAATTATTTGTTTAATCCTTTTATTGAATCTGTCACTTTATTGTTTTTAACAAGTGCTTTAAATATTTCTTAAATACATCAAATAAGTAACTTTTTCCTATGAAATAAACTAATGTCATGCAGTTAAGTCATCAATAAATTAATAAATACATCAAATACTCATTTGACCATATAGAGATTTATGTGCCACAATTCTAACATTGTTAGTTTTCTTTGCTTTTTCTTTTGAGAATGGTGTCAAACATACACCCTTCTCATATTTCTTTTTTTTTTCTTATTAATTGTTGATAGTCCAAACATATATTTTTTTTTAGAAAGTAATATAAGATTATTGTAATTTAAGTGATTAGTTTTTGGTGCCATAAATTCAAATTGTCATGATTCTTCTTACATATCTCATACCATAAGTTTGATCCCATTATTTTCTCATCCACCATGGTAGTCTTTTTTTTTTTTTTTTTTAATGTAGATTTCTTACTCTTCCTCTTTTAAATATGTCATCTCAGAAGTAGTTGCAAATATTGACTAAATTTTGGGAAGAGAAATAATATATTATTAATAAATAAATATAAAATGGTAAGAGAAGATGAAAAAGTGAGAGAATAAAATTATAAATATAGAAGAAAATATATTAAATAATTATTAAGTTTGAGGAGACCAAAATTATAAATTATATAAGAGTTATAAAACTGAAGAGAGAATGAGATGATAAAATTATAAATATACAAGTAAGCATATTAAATGATCATTAAGTTCCTTCAAATCTCAAAAAGATAGAAGAATCACCAAAATTTTTTTATTCATCATTTTTAAAAGATATTATGAGTTTGAATTGAAATATATTTTCTATGAACTTCTCAACACATCATTACAATATTTACTCAATACTTTAATAATCATATATAATAAATAATTAGTTTATTATATGACCTTCATCATATATTAAAAATATAATTAATAAGACTCTTCTTTTAATTATTTTAAAAACTTTGACATTTATGATTTATTTATTTTTGTTTGTGACGAATAAGTTGATTTTCATCTGTTTGTATGAATTTTAAAATACTCAAATAGGTGAATAAAATATTTAATTTTATAGTCCAAAAATAATAATTTCTCCTTCAAATAAAACAACTTAAATACTACTCTAAATTATATTACTAAGTATTATATGTTGTATATTTTTTTATAAGGATTTAGTCTAGGATTTAGAAAATAGGGTTTAGAGTTTAAATATTTTTGAGATAATATTGATATAACACTAAAATTTTTTGTAGAAAATATTTTTAAACAAAAAAGATATAATTTGAGAGACTAAATTTTCTATTTTGATTTTGTTGTTCTCTTTTCTTTTCTTACATTTTACATTTCATTAATGAAGTGAAGTTATAGAAACTAAAAAAATAAATTTTTAATATCTTCGATATGTATTCCATTTCTATTTAATTAGTCATCATTAAAGTAAATTGACAAATTCTCATGTCAAAAGTAAAGTTGAATGAGTCTGATTAAATGAACAAGGGAAATACGAAAGACACAAAAAAGTTCTTAAATTTACCTAATACCTAAGGCTAATCTAGTTATAAAACTCAAGCCACGACATATACTCAAACTGCATACATATATGTATGCTTTACAGGTTGCAACTCGTACCTTGCTGATGAATTACTTGCTGTTAACAAGTAAATATATTTGTGAGATTCTGCTTATAATGAAATTCCTACATGTTATTCTCTGATTCTGCAGTAATTTACCAACATTTCTGGGTGGTAATTGCACATGTTCCGATCATGGAGGTTGTCTGATGAGTGATCGAGGCCCCTGGAAAAATCCAGAAGTGTTGGAAATGATTCAGGTTTGACAGTATTGTGAATAAGATTAGTAGTCTCCCGATTTTTAACAGTGAATTTGTGATCTATGAATAGTTGAGAGGGGCATGTCTATCTCATTGGCTATATCATATGCAGGTTGTTAACTTGAGAGAAGAGATTGCTGGTAAATGCGAAGATGTTGAGAAGGCTACAGAAGATTCCTCGACGCCGAAAAAGGTGAGGTAGTATTGTTCTACCAATGATATGAACAATGTTGTTTAAGATAATAAAATATGCAGGTTGACATGCAAACCAAAGATGACGATAATACTATGAGTCTGGTTGAGCAGACAGAATGTCCGGGGTCAGACTGTGCATGTAATTGTAAGTCAGCAATACAAAAAATTGATTGCCTTGAAGCTAGTCTTGGAGAGATAAAGAATGTGAGTTTTCATATAATGGATGATTCCATGTTAAAGTTAAACCAAGACATTCAAAATGCTTAGGAATTTTTTATGATACTTGTAAATGTCCCAGAAAATCAAGACGCTGGAAGATGCACTTCAAGACACAAAGATGGTGAGATATGAACAACGTCTCTTCTAGCAATGTTAAATGATCCTGTGTTTTTACCTATAGTTTTCTCTTTCAGGCGTTGAAAGAACATGCACAGCATTCGGAACAGCCAAAAGTATGAAAGTGGCTAGCGTTAACTCTGATGCAACGTTCGTAGTAAAAAAAGAAAAAAAAGAAAAAAAAAAAGACTTTTGTGCATTGATTTTGTTCCCAATTCCCTTTGTATTATGAGATTAAAGTTCAAAAGACTAGCTATATTAATATTCTAACACGATGGTTGTACAAAATTCTACCAATACTTGTCGTACACAGAAGAAATAATAAAATAAATAAAAAAAAGATATTTTGAAAACTCAAATTCATATAACTTTTATAAATAACTCTCTTTTAATATTATAATAATAGTTTTACTTTATTTTTATTAAATCATTTTATAGATTATTATATTAATAAAAATAAATTATTTGAAGGGTTATATGGTTTATGATTATCAAAATATCACCCCTCAATAAATTATTAGTATAAGAAAATGACCTTTTCTTCATCGTGGGAACCAACAAAACCCTAGAAGTGAAATGAGAGAAGGAAGTGAAGTGGGTCATGGAGTGAGTGTGAGAGACAGTTAGAGGAGTTGTGCATCCAACTACACACTGCAAAAGCATACACCTCGCGCTGAGATTGAAGAAAGTCCTGCACATGAAAATCATTTTGCTTTCGTTTATGTAATTATTCAATGTTATTTTTAATATCTTTTAGTGTCTATGCCAAAGATTCAAATATAGTTAAATTAATATCTATTATAACTAAAAATAATTAGAATAATATTTAGAGATTAAAATATTTTTTTATGTTAAAAAGTTGAAAGATAATCTTTTACTGTGTTCAACATACATTCATTTGTTGTATTTATTAATTTAAATAAACTCATAAATATAATAAATTTTGTTGTAATTTTCTATGGGTTTTCATTATCTCTATTAAACCATCTCTCCCCAATTTTTTTCACAACTATCAGTGATGTACATACATGAGAACGTGGGAATGCTACCTTGCATTGCCTGCAATAATTTCCCTCCTTGGAATTTGCTTCTTGGTGTTGTGTTGTGTTGTGTTGTGTGTGGCACCATTTCTAGCATTCTTAAAGGTTATAACGTGGTACTTCATCATCATTCATCAATATAATCCAACGGGATTCAATTTGGTTTGAGGAGAGCATTAGGATACATCACCAATTCATCTCACCCATAAATTCGTGATGAGTTGTGTCAAATTATAAAATTTTTCGTTCACCGATTGAAATGACAAATTGGTGAAGCAACATAAAATTTTACACTACGACTAACATTTGCCGAAAGGATGGTGGGTTATTGTTAGGTTTGGGGTGACAAACAATCAACGCGATAGATTTTATGGGTTCCATGTTTTGGATACGGCTAATAAAATTTTGCCATTTTTTGTTTGAATTTATGCACAATTTGTTACGTATCAAGTAAACCCTAGTAACTAAAGTTTAGTTACAAAAGATTTCGTGATTTTATGGGTCATACATGAAAATTTTTATAGACTTTATTCATATATAAAATTGACAAAAAATAAAACAAAATAAAATAAAAGTTAAATAACTAATTTTATTACATACAAAACACAAAACTGATTAACTAACTAACTTGCAATTAAAAAAAATTAGAAATATATTATTTATGTTTCTTTCTTATTAGAGTAAAAGACAACAACGACACGTTGAATAAGTAGACAAATAACTTAGTTTTAGTGAAAAGTTAGCATTAAATATTATTAAGGACAAAAGTTATCTAACATATAATATATTTATAGGTATATTTCTACATTTTATTATCTAATTAAAATAATAATTAGTATTATAAAAAAATTATTAGAATAAAGATAATTTATTAATAAATAATTACCATAACAATAAAAATTGTATTTATATACTTTATTACATTATGACAAATCTATAATAAGTGTCTACATACTAATTAAGGAATGTAAAATAGAAAAAAATAAATTAATGCACATTAAACTATGATCTTATTACATCGTTAATGTGAATTTTAATAAAAAATTATATTTTAAATGTCTTAACCAATACCCTATATATTAGTTAACAAAATCTTAAAAATTTTAAGGCATTTACGGAGTAATTTATGATATAAAAAAAATCATTAAGAGCACCATTATAATTACTTCTTTAATATATATAAGTTGGATAAATTTAAACTCGTGTTATTGTTATAGGTGTTTATTTGATGGTTTGGAATATATATATATATATATATATATATATATATATATATATATATATATATATATATATATATATATGAAAAATTGAAATTCTTCTTACAAAATATTTTAAAATTTTATAGAAATATTAGTTTTTAATTAAATATTGTGAATAAAGTCAAAGTTTTTTTATCAAAAGATGGTGATTCTTTTTAAAAGTCAAAGTTTTTAACATAAAGTAAAAATGATGCATCAGTAATATTTTGTAGAAAAAAAAACAAGGATTATTATTTTTTAGCGCAGGTGATTATTAAGATTTAAACATAATAATTATTAAGTTAGTAGTTAATAAATTATTAATTAGTTGGAGGCGCATTAAAATGGCCACGTTCTCCACCACAGAGAAAATAGAAAAGAAAAGGAAGTTGAATGAGAATCCCTCCTCGGTGTCTGTTGTAATAGTAATTGCAATTGAATTCGCATTTGCGTTTCAATTCTCTTTCTTTTCCTTTCCTTTTCTTCCATCTTCTCGATCTCTCCGACCCGCATTCTCCAGCCACCAGATCCATTCACTCCTCTCAATTCCATTCCGAGATGAGCACCGGCGACCTTCTTAGCATCGAACCTCTCGAACTGAAGTTCTTCTGTGCGTTCTCTTTCTTTCCCTCTCTTTTTCCCTCTTTCTCTTCTCTTAGGGTTTCATTTTCATTCTTTTCTTTCAGTTGAGCTCAAGAAGCAGATCTCGTGTTCTCTTCAATTATCAAATAAGACCGATAGCTATGTAGCTTTCAAGGTAACCAACTTTCATTTCAACTCTCTCTTTCTTGATTTTCTTGATTATGATTTTGGGAAACCTTTTCTCCCCAGCCTCTCACCTGATTTGCGTGTTTAATTTTGTTTTCTGATTTCTCTCGCAGGTGAAAACGACCAATCCGAAAAAGTACTGTGTTCGTCCAAACACTGGAATTGTCTTGCCACGATCTACATGCGATGTTATTGGTATCTATGCGAATGCAATACTCTTAATATCTAATTTCATTTCTTAAATTTATTATTGTTAATCGATGCTTTTGTCACATTTGTTTGTTTTGTTTTACAGTTACCATGCAAGCGCAAAAGGAAGCTCCGTCTGACATGCAATGCAAGGATAAATTTCTTCTTCAAAGCGTAAAAGTAGACGATGGAACCGCCGCAAAGGACATCACTGCTGAAATGGTTTGATAATACGTCATTCTATTGCTACCCGTTGCAATTTCCTTTATTATTTCTTAACTGTTTATTCTTTTACATTGGGTGAAATGACGGGACCCATGCCATTGTGATTTTTGCAGTTCAACAAGGAAGCGGGGCATGTGGTTGAGGAGTGCAAATTGAAAGTGTTATATGTCTCTCCACCTCAACCTCCGTCTCCAGTGCCGGAAGGTTCTGAGGAAGGATCATCACCTAGAGGTTCTGTTTCCGACAATGGAAATGTCAGTGGTGCTGATTCCGCGGCAGTGAGTTCTTAACTTGTTGCACCTGGTTTAAGTGAACCTTCTTTGTTTCCCAATAGAAGTTTTTATGATATTAACTGGAATGCGTTTCTCTTTGGGCATGGTAGGTAACAAGAGCATTTACTGAACGACATGATGGTCCAGAAAAATCTGCAGAGGTAAAGCAAAGTGGTAACTTTTTGAGTGTACATGCTGTTAGTTAGCGTGTTTTGATTTGTGAACAGTGGCTGTGTTAATTATCCGACATTAGTAGGTCGCGATTGAGTATAGATACTTACCAGGAAAGAATACAAATGACAACTGAACTTTCTTGTTTGAGCACGTGTCCCATTTTCAATTTGCATTATTTTGCAGTCAGTAAAGAATACAACAAATGAGAAGTGAACTTTCTTGTCTGAACATGTGTCACTTATTCAATTCTTGCACTGTTTAGCAGCTTTGGGGATTTTTGGACTGTCATTAATTACGAGTTAAACCGGTGTGCAAATATACACAATTGAATATGTGAGATATAATCTTATGCCCTTTATTGGAAAGTAACATTGATTGGAAGAAAATTTCCTAGCTTTGAGCTCAAGTGTTTGGTTATTACTGTTTGAAAATGAGTAGTTTTAGCAAGAGTAATCGTCGAAGATAATGATTATAAAGGTGGAGGTTTCTTGCTGTCATTTCTTAAGCCCTTGTGTGACTGCTAAGAATTAAAAGGGAGAGGATCGAAATAAGAATGGAGATAATGTCTGTTGAGCGGAGATTTTTGAAACAATGGTGGGAGCCACTATTCATATTTGCCCTATTTCCCCCTATTTTTATTCACCTACTTATCTTTTTCCTATTTTCTTCAACAAAACACTTATAATTTCCATTTTATTTCTCACTTAAACCTTTTCTATTTCCATCTATCATATTTCTTTCACATTCTCCCCCCTGCTTTGGAATGTATTCACTACTTTATTTGTGGAATCTTCTAAATCGCTCATATATTGTTAAAGAATGACACCTAATGCATATGATCATTTAAGTATCCGTATTAGTGCATATTATTTGTATAACCGGGGCTTGAGAAATAGCTTTGTTGGGTAGTGAGGTCCTTGGTGTGAATTCAGAGTCACTTCATATAGCTTTAGATGTGTGCAACCTTGGCACTTTGTTTCTGCTTGAAGCTCTGACGAGATGTTCGTTTCACGGAATCTTTTAGCATTCCTCGAAATATGAAAATGGGAATGTTTATTTCCATGTTTGTTAGAAATTGAGGAAAGAGGTTGAGTTAGAGTAGTAATTAAGGTGTTTGGTCAAAGAGAAGTAGAGGAAAGAGATAAAGAGATGAGTAGAAATAGATGAAAATAAGGACAATGGCCCACGATTTTTAAAAATTATTTATTTACAAATCTTTTCCCACTAGACACCTTTTAACATTTCCATTTTGTCTCAACCAAACAACACCCAAGGGATAAATTCATATTTTCAAGTACCAGCATGTCATGATGAATGACCAATCACTCATGAATTAACAGGACAAAAACAGTTTTTTTTTTTGGGTTCCAGGCTGTAATGATTTTAAAAGCCTGTAACTTCAGTTTTTTATGTGTGTCAACTTTATTTTGATTACAGTCGCTTTTTTGCAGGCAAAGGCTCTTATCTCACGGCTGACCGAAGAAAAGAATAATGCAATGCAACAAAATAACAAGCTTCGTCAGGAACTGGTGAGGATCTATAAAATATACTGATAGATGACTTTATCTCCCCATCTGACTGACCTGTATTTCTCCTCTTTTTCCTGACTGGAACTACCAAGAGTATTATTACCCTTGGGTAGTACAGTTCTAAAACTGAAAGGAAAGCACCAAGTCCTTTGTTTTTTTTGCCTACTAAAATGCAGTTTTGATTATTGTGGCAGTATTTGCCTTAGATATTATGTTAATTTGTGACCTAAGTATCTGACTTGTCCTATATGACTACTTATTTGAAAACCTGAATTGAACAGAAAAGTAGAAACACATGATCTGGGATTTAGATGTGGAACTTGGAAGTATCTAATGGTTTTTATCAAGTTAACTGAATTTAGGAGGGGTCTTAACTTGAATATAGGGTCTATGCTTCTACTTCCTATAAATGCATTTTTTGGTTGTTGAATCAATCTTTTCCTTTTTTTAATTTTCTGTATATTCGAGTGTCAATTGCTTGGTATTGGGAAACTGATATTTTCAACATTAGCATAATTTATTTGAAGGAACATTTGTGCAGAACGTAGGGGTCACTTTTGCGTCCTGCAGTTCCGAATTAGTTCCATCGTTTACATCTTTAGCTATATTGTTCAAAGGAACATTTGTGCAGAACGTAGTGGTTATTTTCCATCCTGCGGTTTATTATTATTCTCCTAGTTTACATCTTTAGCTATATTGTTCAATTTGTGCATTGGTGCTTTTGCTATATCTGTTAGGAACACATCTTTCCTGTCTGATGCTTTCTCATCTATTTATGTCGAGTTTCAAAGTTAAAGCAAGTCAAACAATGTTTAGTCGGGCATATGATGATCATTTTTTTTTTTATATATTATACAGTCAAGATAATGATGACTGACAAACTTGATATGTTTGTATGAAAGCAAATAAGCAAATATCTGTTAACCATGCAAACTTAGCATATAATGTTGCTTTTGAACTGGGGAAAACACTTACATTGATGATCTTATTATCTGCAGGACATGCTGAGACGGGAAAGCAACAAAAGTCGTGGGGGTGTCTCGATGGTCATTGTCATATTAATTGGTTTACTTGGCATAATTATGGGGTATCTCATGAAGAAGACCTGAGCATTTTCGAGAGTCAATCCTTCACCATATGTTTGATCTTAGTTTTCCTGTTGTTCCTGGATATTCAAGAATTGAAGACGAAGGGCAAAGCAGATTAAATTTAGCAGGTGTTGGTGTTTTTTTTCGGGGTCGATAACAATATGAACATAGAAACATTAGTTGAAAGCGTGGGTCACTGGTTTCTTTAAGATCAGATTACTGTGAACTGACTCATGCTTTTGGTAACATGCATTCTTTTTTAGTCAAGGGAAATTTGTTGTTTTATGTGGTTCATCCGGTGACTGTCTGGAATGTCAACAATGACCACTAGTAGCATGCATATTAAAAAAATCGGATATTTTGTTGTTTCATGAGAATAATGTTACTTTTTGTAGTTGTTAGATTTTCAAAAGGTGGATAAAATGCTCTCATTATTTGGTTCGGGTCATCAGTTGCGTAGCATTTTTTTTTTCAAAAATGTTTTTAAGAATGTTAGGGTTTAAGTTTGCAAAGTATTTTTACAATTTGATGTACAATAACGATTTCAATACAATCAGACCTTAATTCAAACATGTACTTAAAAAGTTGCCAAAAACTAGATATTATTTATCTAAAAAGAATTAAATTATTTGCCTAAAATAAATTAAACATTGAAACTTGGCAGCTCTGTCAGGTTCTAACAGAAATTATAACATAAAAGGAATATATTTTTCTCCGCCAGTGTAAACAAGTAGCTTGAGTTATAACTGCAGCATAACTAGAGAATTTTGCTAAATGAACTACTGATCCTAGATAGCATTTTATTAGGAGTATTGATCATATCGTTTCTATTACAAAATTTACGGCTGACCGAATCATGCAACAAAAAGAGAATAAAAGAAAAAGAAAGGAAAGTGGTGGGAAATGGATAGAATGAATAATCATTCATCAACCTTCTTGTTTGAATTCTTCCTGAAAGTGTGCTCAATATGGTTGGCCATGGAAAAAGCGGTGGTGGCAAGTCCCTTAATGTCTGGGACTTTGTAGTTTTGGGCAACGTACACTCCCAAAGCTGCGCCCATCATGAATGAAACACTGCTTTTGATTATCCCCATTATCAAACCACACCTAACCACACTATCACCTGTTGGTAGCGTATATATATTTATTCGGTTCTCAGGTCATAGCATAACCCCTTCCCCAAGTAATTTTTCTTTTCATACAAACAAATCAACCCAAAACCCTTCTTCAAGCAATGTCCTCTTTGTGTGTCAAGTGGGACCCATATATATTCGCTACGTATGCCTACTTAACTCATTAAGATATATGTTCTTTGTATCTCCTATCTTTAGATATAAATTGTAATGTGTAAAATTTGTTCCATTCATAAATATTATATTTAACAAAAAATATACTTGAATTTTTGCAGGGGCCAAAAACATGATTTTATTATATCTAAACAAAGAAAATATTCACGAGACATTTCCTAAGCAATCTTTTAACACAATCTTTATTTTACGAAGAGTCAATACTTGTTTTAAAAAATAATTATTTTCTAAAAATTCTTAAATTAAGTTTTACTTGTGAAACAACTTAAATAAATGTAACTTTTATTTGATAAATTGAGACATAAATAAAAAAAATGTAACTTTACATAAAAATAAACTATAATTTATTTGATTTTTCTATTTTTTATTTTAAAAAATCATCTAATTAAATTTATAATAAAGAAAGTGAAACAGGATATTAAATAAAAGTTAAATTATTTTATATTCTTTTATATTTTCTTGTTATAATTTTATTGTAATTTTTCGTTGATTTAAGATAATTAAGTTAATTTTTTCCTCACACCCTTACAAAATAAACTCTCTGGATTCATTGTTATTTTTGGTTTTCAAAATTATTAGTGAAGATAAAAATTATTATTTTTTATATAATTAAGAGCGATAATATAAGAAAAATAATTATGATAATTAGTAAAACTATCGTGTTATACGTTATTTTTATTTTAATAATTAAATATAAGATATATATATATATATATTAATTTTAAAATATTAATATTTATCTTTAAAATTATGTATTAAATAAAATAGAAAGAGAAATTAAGGAAAACATGTAATCCACATAATAAGGAAGAATTTTTTTTATTTATTAATTTATATTTGAAAGAAAAATTTGAAAAAAAAAATAATGGTTGAAGGAATGAAGGACAGGTGATAAATTTATAATTAATTTCATTTATTTCAAGAGAAAAGATATAAAATAAATAATTTATTGTAAGATGATAAAAAATAATAATTATAAAGAGAGAATTTTTATATAATTTGTTAGATATTACATATTTATAAAATAGTAGATAAAAAAGAGAAAAAAATGGTAAAATGTATGATGAATGGAAAAAGAAAATAGAATACATCTATACGATAGAAGTAAACAAAATAATAATAATAATATAAACAAAATATTTTTCAGTGTAATTTTTAAATAATTATTTTAAAGTCAAAAACTGTTTTTTTTTTTCAAAACAATGACTGGTGTGATTAGAAGATAATACGTCAGCATATTCTAATTCAGTTACACTTTTATGATTTCGGAACTTTGATATACGTGTTTGGAAATGACTATAAATAGTTGTTAAAGGAACATTTCTTGCTATCTTGAAAGAATCCACTGAAGTTACTTCTTTCTTTCTCTGAATTTCATTTCTCTGAAGTCTACCAGAACACGCAGTAGGTAGGAGATCATAATCATTTCTCGGAATGCACAAGGTTTTCTTTTGGATGAATTTTTCCTGTACTTTGCTTCTTGTTTATGTCGTCTGTCTACTTTGTGAGATCATGGATATTCAATTTGTCTTTTAATTGAATTTTGTTTGATTCTACTTTCAGTAGGAATGGCAAGTAGCTCCTTCAAACTAGAACATGAGCTTGGTATATCAAGATACCTTTTTGCCTCTTCCTTTACTTGGAACTTTGGTTATTATATTAATAATTTTTTTTTTCAGAGAAGAGAATAGCAGAGGCTGCTAGCATTAGGGCGAAATACCCAGGCAAGATTCCGGTGAGAATTTGCAATTGTACTTTTCTTTGCTATTGTCTATATATTGATGCAATTTTTACAATTTTTACTGAAGAAGACTTATTCTTTTATCTGTTGTTCTTTTATTTTTTTAGTATAATTAGTGATGAAGTATTGTTAATTATCTATAAATAAATGTGTTTCTTTTGTCTGATGCCTCCTTCAAGTCGCGACGCAGCAGCATAATAACTGACTCATACTTAACTTTCGAGTAAATTCCGTACAGGATAGGTTGTCTTGTCCTTGATCTTCTTTACAATCTTTCTTAAACAGAAACTTGTTTAACTATGATCAATGCATTTGGATACCTTCTATTTTGTTTTGCAGAATTTAGCCCTGTTTAGTATGTCCTCTTTGATGAAAAGTAATTTAGTTTGGCATTTTTCTATTCTTAGTTTATTGGACTTCTCACCATACGTGTGTGCTGTTCCTGTTAGTGTCGTCATTTTCCCTTACCTTGTTGTAATTTGTTTCCAGATTTTCCTATTCCTACCTTTACCTTGGTGGAATATAATATTTCCGTAAACATAGTTGTGTTCCTCATGAGAAGGGCCTGAAATTCTATTGCATGGAAACTTTTATTTTGTGTGTAAGTGGCTAATCTGGAATATATTGGAGGTTAAGTGACTGATAGAGTCACTGAATTATACAATGAATTCAAACATAAGAAATATTATTGGATGAGCTCTACATTTGTGAACTTTCTCAATATGATCCTATTACTTTGTTGCTTGGTTCCAGTTATCCCAAATAGTTTCAAGGATTCTACGGCTTATTTTATTTTACTCCAATGTTAATAGCTTAGTCAGACATCTAGGTTCAATTTGATTAGAGTAATATCAATATCCATGTTCAGAGATGGGTCAATTTTAAATTTTCCTGGTAGATACATTTTATACATATCAAGGCATGGTGTTTAACCTATGCATTTTGCATACCTCAACAATCATTCTCAGAAGTGCAACTCATTGATAAATCTGAAATTTTGTGCTAAATTATTCTGGATATGCGTGAAGATTATTGTGGAGAAGGCTGAAAGGAGTGACCTCCCAAGTGTTGACAGGAAACAGTAAGAAGTTGCCTATATTTTTTTTTTTCTAAAGTGGAAAATACCATATTATTTATTGATTTCTTCATTGATGTTCTCGGGCACTGTTTAGTAAGACCCTATTAATTATTTCCATCCTGATGTATACAATTTGAAGTTTAGCTCAGACAAATGAATACATTTATGCTATTGTTGGATTAATAACTGTCTATTGCATATCTTGTTAAAATTGTTTTTCATAAGTCCATGTGTTTGCATTAGAATTAATGCAGGATCTTATGCTCGTTTAACTATTCTAAAGTGTTGCATAAATGTGATACATGATTGTAAGGCCATGTTGATCATAATCTGTGTAACCAGCTTGTATGAATTTATCAGATGATGTACCAAAAATTGATCAGAATGACTTACAAATTTGTCATGATTCACACTGCAATAGTTAAGGGAATTGCTGATATTGGTAGCTTCAATTAGTAAACGGACCTGAATTTTAACCTGGGTAAACAACATGATGAATTGGTTTTTTGTTTCTGAAAGTTTGGTTATTCCTTTTTCTTTTTCTGTTAGTTACTAACTACTAGATTTTAAGGTGTAATGAATAAATAATTTGTTTTTATCTTATGCAAGTTGACCTAACAAATTCAACTGTGACTTGAAGTCTTACATTGAACAGAAATGGTGAAATTGAGTATCATACAAGTTAAAAAGTTCAACAAATTTACTAGCTTAAGGTGTTGGGTTAAATATAGACTTATATTCTCTTATACGAGTTACTCTTCGTCTCATTGATGAATACTGGCTCAATGTTGTCCCCCTCCCTCTCACAAAGACCCAACAGTAGCATTAAAATTGATGATTTGTCTAGTGACCGGTTTGATATCCTCCCATTGGTGAACACCAGTCCAATGTTATCCCTCCTTGCAAAAGTCCAATACTATTAAATTTCTAACATGGGTTGGAAGCCGTATATTGTATTATGCGTGAAACTGAACGACTACATTGCAGGTACCTTACCTCTGGTGACCTTAGTGTAGGACAGCTTGTCTACCTCTTACGCAAACAGATCAGGCTAACTGCAGAGAAGGCAATGTTTGTATTTGTGGACAACATCCTTCCTCCTACAGGTGGCAAATCATATGCATCTGCTTTCTTTTTTGGTATATATGATTCTCTAGATTTCTAATGTCGAATAAGCCTTATCCTAAGTCAATTTCTTCAGGAGCAAGTATGGCTGCCTTATATGATGAGAAGAAGGACGAGGATGGGTTTCTCTATGTTACATACAGTGGCGAGAATGCCTTTGGAGATTTGATTTCCATTCAGTAGCCATTGTGAATTAACGGCATATGATTTGGTCTCATTGGTCTGTCTGATAAATTCGTAAATAGTACTCGTGTCAAGAACCTTTACTCTCAATGTTTTGTACAGTTGTACATAAATTCCGTGAACTACATCAATATTAAAAAGTTCTCTCATTCAGTCTTTCAACTCCTTTCATGGTTTACATCATGCATATCTTGGAATGTTCATTTTGATTGCAAATTGATACAATGGATTAGTAGTGCAAGAAAAAGGGTCCACGCATTATCTCTTATTTCCTACAGCAGAATAGGGGGTTCATTCGTAATATCTTTCAGTGAGCACAAGAAAAAGGAACCTATAATAACAACACTACTGCTTACTTGTTTTCCCCGGTGAAATATTTAACTTACATTTACTTTTTCAACTAGAGTCATGTTGTTTGCAAACACGCAGAGGCATGCATGTTGGAGACAGAAGAATCTGAAGGATGTGTCATTGTCATGTTACATAGAACCTTGAATTAGATATCTGCTCCTTTGGGAAGCAATGGCTATTGTGACAATGCGTTGCCGCTGATGGCAGATGTTGTACATCCATGTGGCATGCTCCTTGGCTGCTGGGAAGAGAGAGTAGAAGGTGACGGTTTAGCCATGCTCTGTTGTCCCTAAAACTCCTCGTCCCCATTCCCCATTCCCCTGTAGGTCCCATGTGTATATGTTGCCATTCTCATCCCACTTGAGCGTTGAAATAATGCAAGAGAATTTCAACTAGGAGAAAAATACGATATGGTAAAGATAATGTTTTCAATCTCTTTTATTTTATTGTAAACAATTATAAAAGTGTAATTTTGTTTTCATTAAAAAATTGTATGAGTACCTAAATAATGAGAAAAAGGTTTATTATTATTATTATTATTATTTTTCAAATTATTTTATGAAAAATAAATTATTCTTCATAATTATTGATATAATTTTAACTAATAATTCTTTTTCTTGAATAGTAGGTTCCCTTAAGAGTCCATATTTTCCAATTGAAAACCGGAATGAATGTGATTTAAAGGAAAAACTTGTATTTAATCTTTATATTTTGATCACCATCGATAAATTTAATGTCAACTTATAAAATGTATGAATTTAATTTCTATTCTTTAGGATTTATAATGTTTTTTTATGTTAAAAGGGACTGTTATCATCAAAATTAAGAATACCTTTTTAACATAAACAACTTGACCCTTTCATTAGACCAACCTCGTTTTGTTTTGTCTTGAGGAAATTTTGTGATAGCATCCCTTTTATGCAATCAGAATACCACCAAAACAACCGGCCAAATATCCAACATTTATCACCCATCTAATACTTCTTGGAAAATCCTTGTCCAAGAAAACAACTAGAAGCAAGTAATTAATGCATGGGTGTGATGCACATTCACCCCATTTCATTACAAACCTCTATATTATTTCTATCACTTTTCTTGCCACAACATATCTCCTACTTTCTCCTTTTATTTTTGTTCTCGTGTAGAGTGTAGTTTGGGTGTTCACCAAGTATTTTCCATAATGCATTAATGCAATTGCAATTTTGGAAACATACTACTGGTTCTTCAACGTAAATATATACAATGTCGTTACTCATTAACTTGTGTCCCTTAATTTTTTTTGTTACAATATTAATTCCCTAACAAACAGCTAATCTTTCAGTTATACATAGAACACTCTTTGTGGTAGGGGTGGCCCATGGGGTGTCTGTCCCTAGTGATTAAAATTGAGGAATAGGGGTAAGGGGACAAATGTGGACCCTTGATATCTTCATTTTCGTTTTCAAGGTTCATCTCCCAAACACATGCATGTTCTCTTAAAGAACGTTCTCCATCCCATACTAAACCTGCATTTAATGCACCCTCTATTCTACCATTACATATTAGTGAAAACCTTACCCTATATACGTCTATTCATACAAACCTTACTCTTCCTCTGTCCGGAACTTGGAGCCAGCAAACTCATATCAGCATGGCTTCTCTTTCTCTTGTTATGATCCTTCTCCTCTGTGTTTCTGTGCATGCATGCACTGCCCGATTTCTTAGTCTTACTAAAAAAGACACCCCACATAAGGTTGGGTTCCTAATACCAACAATTCCATTTTTGTATGCTATAAACTTCCTCAGTACATTGCAGTAGTTCTCCGTACGGGACAAAAAATATTTTGTTCACCATATTGGGAAGCATTTGAAATTATTTATAGATAGAGACTAAGATTTGTGATTATCTACAGGAACTAGACAAGGTCAAGACATTAACTGAATCTCGTAGTGTGAAGGATTACAGGCTAGAGGAAAATCAACAACAGCAACAGAAAGTCGCAAATAATGAATTGAACACTTGTGAGAGTTGTAGCAGTGTATCATCCACTTTGAAGGAACTGATCGTAGAGGCAGCTTCAGGTGCTTATATTTCTAGAATCTTTTCTCCTACCCCCGCCTACATGTCCCTTTATTTGTTAGCATGAGCAGTCACGAGCTCAAGCAATGGAAAAATGAAATTTCAAATGTTTATTGCTGTCATTGATGGTTGAAAAGGCTACACTCTTTTTACATTACTTTAAAGAATTCGAGTCATTTTCAGTTAACACAAAATAAATGAAGTTCGCCTTTATTTTCTCAGTCAGAAAAGATCTCTAACGTGCGTGTACCTTATATGTGAGGTGTCATGTTATATATGGTACACTTGCAGAAGTTGTATTTTTATGCCATTTTATCAACTTCCCTCTCAGAATATATTTATAGCTGTGTAATTTTTTTTATATAAAATTTATCATGTTCTCATAATCACCTACCCTTATTCACCCTTTATAACAATAAGTGACGGTGGAAGCATGGGTTATGCAGGTACACCTTTTCAAATGGATTCGTCATCCTTTCTTGCAGCAGAGGTAATATATAGTAAATTCTGGACAATTTAGATTTTTATAGAATTAGTTGGCTCTCTCATTGGGTTTAAAATAATAAATTACTTTATTCTTTAAAAACAATGATGTATAAAAATTCCAAAATGAATCTTTTTACGTAACATGCATATGAATTCAGGGATTGAAACAATGTATATTGGTTGAGATAATTTGTGAATATAGATAAAGTATCTAACTATGATTTCATGTCTTCCATCTATTTCTATTTGAGTTGTCTGTATTTGTTTCTTTATTTATCATTGTTCTCAAAGGGATTGTTTTCCCGTGAGCATTGTAATTAGAGTTTGCATGGTAACAAGAGTGATGTAAATAATTAATATGGTGAGAGGGATACATGCTGGTTGCTTGAAAATATTATCAGTTGATTAGTGGTAGAAAGCGATGAGCCATATGCTTGTGTAGGGCGAGAAGAGGCATGCACGGTCAATGCTGGGACCTGCTCGGCATCATCACGGTGAAGAAACAGTGCTTACAAACGGCAGTAACGCCGCAGAGGACATAGTTGAGATGGACTATGCTCAACCTCATCGAAAACCACCTATTCACAACGAAAAGCCTTGACTGCATGCATGTTTAGTTATTTACAATCTGTATTTTTTTCAAGAATCTTTATGCCATGTAGTTTTGGCTCTTCGGAGGTGATCTGTACGACAGTGTTGAGTTATTTATTTTCAAAACTACTACATAGTAATTGGACGAAAGTATGATTATGATGTGTGCTGTTTTAAACACCTACATACTGTACATTTTCACGATGATGTTTGACGTAAAACAAGTAATGGACAAAAATAATTAATACAAAGACAGTCAGATTCGTTCATGTTATCAGCTTTTCTTGTCATTTAGCATTTTCATTTACGTTAGTCAAATTTGCAGGCTTAAGACACCAAGCCACATGCAATGCCTTGGTGAAATGTCAGAATTCCCAGTTTTGCATGAAAATAATTTGACTCACGTGAAATGTGTGGAATGAATGGTAGCCATGGATGGGAATGGAAGAGTTGCCAACTTTTAAGGCGTGTATCAGAATATTGGTAGTTCTCATAAGGTAATATATAGATTAATGCAGTAAACAAAATAAAGGGAATATATATTAACCAATGTAAGAGAGAAAATAAAGGGAAATGAACTAATTAATGCAGGAAGCAAAGAATACATCTCACATGTTGGACCACATCCTGCACAGGAGACACTCAAAAAGAAAGATGGACCATTTGCCAAACACCACAACAACAGTGCCTCTACCCTAATGTAGACTCCAGACAAAAACAATGTTCATTCATGTGCTTTTCCAACATGAAACAAGATTAGACATATCACGCAAATACCTGTTAATGGCACATGTAAAATTCAATGACCATGTGTTACTATGACTCAATCAAAAATTTGTAGGTGTTTTTTATTACGATTTGTTACTTGAGGTTACTTGGATTTGAAGAAGGCGTATGAGGTCTTTTTGTTAGGTCGAGTAGTAGATCAAATTCGAAAATACATGCAGAAGAATCTTCATTGCTTAAGTAAATATATGAACAAGAATAAAAAGTATATTATATTAAATAAAGGAGTAGTTTTTGTGTATCTCATAAGTTGGTATCTGAATATCTTAGGATATCAGCGTAGGCAACTTTTTAATTGGGATTAAACATTTCTAATATTATCTCTCTTACAAATCTTATATTATCAACTTATTATGTTTAAAGTTCACTTTTTAAAATATTATCAGAATTTGTCCAAATTAGGTTAATTGAACCTACTGCATATTTTCATTATGGGACCACTATCAAACTACTTACAATATCTAATTTTTATATAAAAATATATTAATAATCGATTTAGAAATATGGTTTACCTTACAAACTAATTTTGTGATATTAAAGTAATCATTTTAAAAATTATTCTCATGTAACATTTCAGTCCACCAATTATATTGGTAAGTTACGACTTGTTAGAATCAAAATTACTTTACATGGACCAAAATTATTAGGCTTAGAAGGAAGGTCCACCAAAATCTGTCAATATAAGATTGGGTTTAGCCCTTGACAGAGAGAGTTGCTATTCGCACTCCTCCTTTTCAAATTTAAATATTATATAACTATCATACCTACAAAAGATTAAAAAAGTCTTTAAAAAAATTAACTATCATAATTATTACATTGCTACGATCATGATCTGTCATCGTAATGATGCCATGGTTCTATTATTAATTTTTATTTTTGTGTGAATCTTTTATAGATTATTAATTACATAATATTTTCATTTTAAACTTTGATTATTTAATTTTAATAAAATGAATATGTTTGTTAACATTTTTAATCGTAAACAAGTGTTACCAGAATTATTATCTAATTAAGGTAAGTTAGAGATATGTGTGAATATGAGTTAAGTTGTTCATAAATATATAAATTAAATTAATTATATTTTTTGTATGTCTATATTATTTTGAATTAATGAAAAATTAGTATGGAGTTGCATCATGCAATAACATGAAACTGCTAAAACACAAACTGTATCACCACTGGCATACATGTGGACGTTACTATGACATACACCAAAACCAAACTCACGGCACACAGAAAACATATTCATCTAACTCAACCATGTTCGTAATATTCTTCTCCTGTTCAAACTTTCAATAAAATACTATTCTCCACTCAAACCATGACTTTTTAGTCTCTAAAAGTCGTAATTCAACAAAAGGTTCGCTAATTAAATAAGCTTTCCCAAATTTATACCCGATTCATTTGAGTTAATAAAGGAATTATAATTCAAATAAAAATAATATCTTTATTATGTTGTTATTACTTATTTTTGCGTGTGTTAATATTTTATAATTACATTGTTACCACACACAAAAATTGTGTTGCAATTTTGTGTGGCACGTATTTAACAGTTTCGTAGGCCCTGGGAGACAGAGACAAGTTCATGAAGTCATTGAATGACGACACGATTGTTTTTTCTTCTTACTTTTTTTCCCCCTTCTAGTACAAACCTTGAAGTTAACGTGTTAATTTCCATGGCAAAAATCCAGAAACTTGAGAAATTTCAAAAGCCCGTACGAGGCATTGTCATTCTCCTACTGTAGCAAGAAAGGTTTTGTGTTGTGGTCATTTACAATCAACGGTTTGGATCTCAACCACCCACACGACGTTCTTTATCAATGGAGAAAGCTAAGGATTGACCATTGAAAAGCATATGAATCTTTCTTTCCAAGCCCAACTCTCCAAAACCATTTACTTTTTTCCCAAGTTTTATGTTCTCGTCGCTTTCAGCCATTGGTATAAATATAACACATGCTTGCCTCTTACAACCACAACAAACAACACCATCTTATAATCTTCATTCACATTCAGATTTCTCTTTGTTCTAGATAATCAAAACAATGGCAATGCACAAGAGCACTTCTGGTTCAGCATTGGGTCCTGGAGGCTTGGACCTAACTCAAGCCTTCTTCAAGTCCATCATGAACGCTGCACCTTCTTCTCCCACAAAGCGCCACACCAAAATCTCCATTGTTGGTGCGGGCAACGTGGGAATGGCCATAGCGCAAACCATCCTCACTCAGGATCTCACCGATGAGCTTGTTCTCGTCGATGCCATTCCCGATAAACTCCGCGGCGAGATGCTGGACCTCCAGCACGCCGCCGCTTTCCTCCCCCGCACCAGAATTCAGGCCTCCACCGACTACTCCGTCACGGCGGGCTCCGACCTCTGCATTGTCACCGCCGGTGCCCGCCAAATCAACGGCGAGTCCAGGCTCAACCTCCTACAAAGGAATGTCCACCTCTTTCAGAAAATCATACCCCCTTTGGTTCGTCACTCTCCCGACACCATTCTCCTTGTCGTTTCGAATCCCGTGGACGTGCTCACTTACGTGGCATGGAAGCTTTCAGGGTTCCCTTCAAACCGTGTTATCGGCTCCGGCACTAACTTGGACTCCTCGCGCTTTCGTTTCCTCATCGCTGATCATCTTGACGTCAACGCTCAAGATGTCCAGGTTAATATTTTCCAAGTATTTATCTCTAAACTATTTTTATAGTTTCATCATTCTTACATGTGATTTTGTGAGTGTAGGCTTTTATAGTGGGGGAACACGGGGACAGCTCAGTGGCTTTGTGGTCTAGCATTAGTGTTGGGGGTGTTCCAGTGCTGAGCTTTTTGGAGAAACAGCAAATCGCGTATGAGAAGGAAATGTTGGAGAACATACACAAAGAAGTTATACAGAGTGCTTATGAGGTTATAAGTCTGAAAGGGTACACTTCTTGGGCGATAGGGTACTCCGTAGCCAACTTGGCACGAAGCATTCTGAGGGACCAAAGGAGGGTCCACCCTGTGTCGGTTCTTGCAAAGGGTTTTTATGATCTTGAAGATGGGGAAGTGTTCCTTAGCTTGCCTGCACAACTTGGAAGAGGAGGAGTATTGGGTGTGACCAATGTGCATTTGACTGATGAAGAGAAACACAGGCTCAAGGACTCAGCCACTACAATCCTCCAAGTGCAGAATCAGTTGGCTCTTTGAATATTTCTTCACACCCCCTCTCTGATGAAGTCTCATGAAATTGTTTATATATTATTCTTTTCCTTTTTCCCAGGTTATTGTTTGCTCGTTTAAGTACTCAGAAGTTCTTTTTTGTCGTTTGTTGTAATAAAGAGAAATGCGTATTTTCTGTTTACTATAGTGGTTATATATGTTTTTTCCTTTTTAATTTCCAGATATGATTTTCATCTGTTCTTACCAAAAACTTGAATGGCATATTTTGTGGCAAATCCTCTGAAAAGGAAACAAAAATGTACATAATTAAAAAGTTCATTCATAAGTCTATGGAGCTATTTATTTATACGTTGATTAGTCTACTTTAATCATGAATATGAAATAAATCTTTAAATAAGCTAAAATATCAAAATTACGTAAAAATAAACTCAATCTTACGAAAGGCCTTAATGGGCTTATTGGTCAAGGTTAAGGAACAAGGTTGTGAAGAGATTCAATCAAATTTAAATGAAGCCCAACTTAATTTGATATATCGATTATAAAAATATCGTACATTTTTTAAATCTTAAATACAAGAAAAATAGAATACTCTCAAACATAAGTGAATATTTATTAAAATGATCTCATCTAATGTAATAATTTAAAAAAACATTTAATTGATTTTTTTAATATTAAGTTTCAAAAAAGAGTAATTAAAAAATATATTTTTAAATGAAGTTACCATAATTATTTTCCAATTATTATCTTTTAAAATTATTTTGAACTAACTTTTTATTATATTAGAGACAGCAAATAATATATTTAGATGAATAATGATTGCCTTATGGTTCATTTATAACCCCCTTTTTTCTCTTATTTTCAGGCCCATCTATAGAGCTATTAAAATGGGCTGGGCCAGTTTAAATCAATTATTGTTACTGTGTGACCGCACCACTGAGGTATGGATCTGGACTACTTGAACACTCCTTGAGGTATTAGGCCCAATAGGTTTTATAATTGAGATCTTACTTCCTTAAATGCGAGGTCAAACTTAATTAATTATTACTTACATTCATAATTCATACTTAATTATATATATACATATATTGTTCATTATCAATATTGTACAAATTATTCTTTTATCATATAAAATAAAAATAGAGCATTTAATGCTTTCAAATAGAAAACGTATACAAATTAGTATAAGGATATTGTAGGACAATTTTAAAAAATTCTTTGCATGTATAAAGAAATGTAGATTCTTAAATTTTGATAAAACAAAGCAATTACAAAGATAGTAATAAAAAAAATTATCTCTAGGTCTTATTTATCTATTTTAATTTTATTGCACCCACACACATGCCATTGTCACTCTTTCCAAAACTTCACAAGGAATATTTCATGGAAAAAATTATTTTGGGAGGTTAAATTTTTTTCAATGTTCTGTAACATTTAAAAAATTATAATTTTTTATTCTGTTAACAATGAATAAAATAAAATTTAAAATAAATTAATATTTGACATAATTATAGCATTGAAAAAAAAGTTACATATCATTAGAGTCCTGAAATATTTTTTGTTTTCTTTTCTTAAAGGAAGAGTTCTGAAATAGTTTATATTTCAAATAATATTATATAGAAATAAAATACGACTACACAAATATTTATTCATTGTTGTTTTATATTTAAATGATATTTACATTTAATCTCAACAATTACTTGTTATTGGTAATTTAAAATATATTAATTTTCAAACATTTTGTAAAATTAGAATGTTTCATTAATTTCTATGCAGTCACCTAATTTCTTTGTTATCCTTAAGTTATGATTTTATTTTATTTTATTTTCAAATCATATGTATTCTATATTAAAACTAATTTTATAATTTATTGGTTGGATTGGTTCGAATTTAGAATAAAATCAATTTTGTTTCAATAATATTTAATTGATTTGACTTTGGTTAAGTTTTTCAGAATTTGATGGTTAATTAAAATGAAACCGATCTACTTCATATGTTGTTTAAAACTCTTTTCAACATTTATACTTTATCAAGGTTCCACTGTTGTTGGTTCTGTTTATTCGAGGATTTTAAAAATTTTAAAACAGATAGCTTACCTTTTATATAAAAAAAAAAAAGTAAAAGTAGATTTTTAAGAATTACTAAACTAACTTTCAAAATAAGTTACACGAGTTGATTTTTATCTCATGTAGAATTAACTGAAAAAAATAAAATTAAAATGATGACATATTTGATTCCATTATAATTAATTTAAACGTATTGTGTATATGTTAGGCTTTTAGTTTTGTTTTTATTTAAAAATAATAATTTCAATAATAAATTTTGAATAATTATTTATATAATAAATTAAAAAACTTATTTAATATTTAATAACCATTTTAGATTAAAGATGATAAAATCTATCACGACAAAGAATCCAAATCCAAATCCAAATTGGACAATTTGAATAAAAATAAAGTATATGATTGAATTGTTAGTAAAAACCTACCTATAAAAACAAAAAAAAATTAGAAATCATAATATTTAAAAAATAGATTTTAAAGTTAAATAATTGAAAATTGTTAATAAAAACTTAAAATATTTCTAAATGGGAATTATTTAAAAGTAGAGAAAATAATATAAAATTTAAAATAATTTGTAAGTAATGTATAATAAAATATTTATTTATATTTTGAAATAAATTTTGTTAATAATAATTTGATAAAAATAGATAATAGAAGAAAGAATTTGGAAATAGTGGGTGGTTGTTGATTTGTTGAGGTCAAAAGTGAAGAAAGGGAAAAGGTCCCCACCCTAGATGAGGACTTCCCCACATAATTTGAGAATCTAAGTTGGGGTTCTGCCACATGTTTCCAGGTATCAATTTGCATATTCTGTCTATTTCCCCACTTTCCCCTCCTCTCACGCTACCCTTATCGCATCTCAAATGCCAATTAACCCAAATTCAAACCATTTCCTCTTATGGACACATGTGACGATAATTAAAGCTCCTTTTTTTAATATGTTTTTTTTTCTCCCTTTATTTAGTGTTATCCGTTTTCAATGTTTCCAAATATACTATGGTTCATTTCAAAGCTACCTTTACTAGCTAACCACATTAAGCACGTCTTCAACCTCATCATCACATGATCATGAGCTTGTAAACCATTCACCATGCATGCGCCTTCACATATTTTATGAAATGTAATAACTTGTTGATCAGTTTATTAGGTTTAAGCGGAATAAGTTAAAAAAAATAAAAGTATCAATTTTTATATGTTATTCTTTATTAGATTATTATCTTAATTTATATCGAAGTTATCAAGGATAAAAAAAATAAAAAAAAAGTCTTTAATGAAATATAAGAAGAAGTCATTATAAAAATAAAAAAAATAAAAAATATTATTAATTTAAAAAAAAAGAGAAATAATACCAATAATACATAAATTTAATTTACGTAAAAAAAATTAATACTCATTCCTTATATATTAATAATTTATTTGTTTTTTTAACATAAAATTTCTTCCAAGTAAAAATTTATAGTTTCCTTGTTAACAATGTTTAGTCATTATAAAATTAATTATATAATAGACTTTATATGGTCAAACTATTTATTTATTACAGATTTAACTATATTAAATGGACATTTATTTTTCATAACCCTAAATAGCACTAGTCAATATATAAGTGTCCATATCACCTATCACTTATTTTGGTTATGGTTTTCAATAACTTATTGAAATGGTTATATATAGTTTCGTTGCATCTAGTAGAAAACTTGTAAATAATAAATTCCTTTGTCTAATATAAATTGTAAATTTTCAACTAAAAACACGTTTACATTTTAAAAGAAACTTTTTTTTTTCAAATTTATTGCTTAGATAAATTTAATGTGAAACATTATTTATATATGTAATCATGCATGTAAAGAGTGGACAATTCCTTGGCTAGAAAAATAGATAAGACGATAAGGTTAAATTGTTTATTGATTTCAAATATATATCACCAACTTAAGGTATCCTCTCTCTTCCATTATGTGTTTTTCTTTAAAATTTTGTTATGTTTGTTTATGATTATATTAGTAATTTGTAATAGACGAGGGAAGAAGTTGTGTAAATCATTTGTTATTAAAGTGCTATTATTGAGCCACGTGTTGCGTTGTCTATGTAAGGGATCTTTTGAACAACGCGAAAAGCCGATTTGTGAGAACTTGCTAAAAGAGCCACCTATGATTTATTCATCAATGAAACTCATTATATTAATGTCTTCCACCCAATGAATCATAATTTCAGAGACAACAAGGTTTGAACGTCTTTGTGAAAAGGAACTAATCTGACGCAATAGGGTTACTTTTCTGCCCCATTCGTATTGATTAATGCAATTCTTTTTTAGTATACAAATATATGTTTATATATGTCTAATTCAGAGCCGTTATTATCTTAACAAGAGTTGAAGAAGAATAAAAATAATTTTTTTGTTATAAATTTTATATACAAATCATTTCAAATTAAAGAAAGTTACTTAAATTTTTAAGAAAATATTTATATAAATAATTTTAATTAATTTTTAAGTAACCTATATATATATATATATTTATATTTATATAAGATTCATAATAAAATGTTATTTTTTATTCTTAAACCACTCTCTTAAAAACAAAACTTTCATGTTAAATTTAAAAAATATAAAAATGAAATTAAACTCAAGAGGATTGTGCCACTCGCCGTCCAATGAAGTGCTTTCGTCATTCTTCTTGTTCGGCAGAAACTCAACTTCACTTAGGGTTTTATTAAATTTCATTTAATTTGTTTATATAATATAAAGAATAGTAAACAATTAGTAGCACCCACATCAACCACATACTTATGGTTGCTCACAATAAAAACGCGTGTCCATCTCTCAAATGATTATCACCATTTTTTTATATAAAATTAAATAGTTTATAGGAGGAAGAAGAAAAAAGAAAAAGGTTTTTGTTTGGAATTTTTTGTTTTTTAAGGTATCATTTAATTGAGTAGAAAAATACTTATTTACATAACAAAATAAATCAA